GGCAGCGACGGGGGCAGCGACGGGGGCAGCGACGGGGGCAGCGACGGGGGCAGCGACGGGAGCAACGACGGGGGCGGCGACTAGGACAGAGGGAACAGATGTGTCCTCAGCCTTGCAGTCAGGGCTCGAAGTTGCGGTGTCGGTAACGTCGACGTGAGCTTCTACGGCGGGGAGAGCATCAGGAGTCGCAGCGGTCTGCTCGCTGTCGGGTGCGTGGACAATGGGATCAGTCGCGCGCTTGCTTTCGTCGACCGGAGAGTCAGTTCTCCATTTCAGGACAGTGCCGGCAGGGACGGGCTTTGGGAAGGAGGGGAAGGGTTTGACGCCTTTCCCGGGCCAAACGTTAGATGTAGTGCATTTTCTGCGGGGTGCAGGCCTGCCCAAAGTGACCACTTGTTTAGGAGGAGCTTGGGCCATCTTCGCAGCGATGCGCTTCTTCATCGACTGAGGCAGATCAATGCGTAAGCTTCTTCGCTTCATCGAGATTCCGGACAAAAAAGAGAAAAGGACTGACCACTACATGAAGATAGGCCTGCCTTTCCCGTTCCTTTTTGTTTCTGCGCTCGAGAAACTAAAAAGGAATCCTTGAGTATAGCCCATAAGACAAGTCGACCGATGGACAGACTACTCACCTCGCTGAAGAAGAACCATATTGCGAAAGCTAGCACACCAATGGAGCTCCAAGCGGGGCGGGGACGCGCCTGCCATGCCTCGCGCAAGTACATCAACGAGTGCGAGCACATCGACAGAGATCGCTCCTTCAATGTCTCGCGCAACATCGACGCAGGACGCGAATGCCATGTCTCGTGCAAGTACGCCGACACTGCCGCCTGACCATGCACAGATACGCGAATGACCGTTGTGAGCTGACACACGGAAAAAGGGTTAAGCGACCATCGCGCAAACAAAAAAGTGGAATCACGCACCGATTGTTGAAGGGCAAGAGCCATACCGTTACGAGCAGTCGCGAGCGACTTCCTGAGCTTGTTGTGTAAATCCGTGGTGTCGATGTTGAACATAGGGGCCGATACGGGAGCAGGTGGCGGGGTGCAGGTGGGAACGCCATCGATGAGGAGAGGAACCGGGGCAGCATCGAGAAGAGGGAACTTTGGCATCCAAGGAGCCGACGCGATAGTAGCAAGAGTGTAAACCGGGACCGTGTTCGTGTTTGTGTTAGGATGGCAGGAACTGAAAGCAAGATCGCACCCGACCGGAATCAGGGTGTAGTACTGAACCGCGCCCATAAGGGCGCAGTAGAATGTGACGAGCCACTGCATTGTGGCTGTCGTCGATGAGAGACGTGCGTTTGGTTGTTGTGGTTGTGTAGTCTGTTGGACGACGCGTCTGAGTAAGCGTGGATGTGGGAGAGCGAAGGAAAGGAAGAGCGGGCGTGTGCGAGGGCCTTATATATGAGCGCGAAAGGACGCGATCTAGAATTAGCGCGCGGACGCCCGGACCACATGGGTGGCTGTGCACAAAAGAAAAACGGCTGATTGTGCCGGTCCAAGCTAGCAACGAAAACACACGCGCCCATAAGCGAGCCTTCCATCATCGATAAGCCTTATCGACCGATATCCACTTGATATCCACTGATACCGTCTGAAACCCCCAAGTGTGCCACACCTACGTCCAAGTTCCTCCTCTCAAATTTCCCTCTTAATTGAAAGCAAACGATGCGCAACTCTGAAAACCACCGTCGGCCTTTTCTGTGACTTGCCGTGAAATACCAGACACCATCGATATCGCTCAGGGTCTTATGAGACTTCTGACCCCAGCAGGATCACGAGGCGGTGGGACGAGTGGCGTGCCGCGTGGGTTCTATTTCTGGGGCACCTGCGTGCCCGCATAATTGCTGATAGGCTAAATCTTCCTCTGAAATTCCTGACACCGCAAGATCCGAGCTCTTCATTTAGGCCGAAATTGACGAGAAAGTCTGTTATGATTCGAGAAGAAAATGAAGTGGCTACAGTGTAGGCCCACTCCTTGATCCACCACTTCGAAATAATTCATTTTCTTCCTCCCCTTCACATATTTCCTCAATCTGTTTACTTCAGTATTGAATACACCCCTTAGGCTGTTCAAAATTAAATTTACATCGTACCAAGGGTGAATATGCCTTTTCGGCAGACCCAACTGTGGTGTGGCACTCAGTGCCACAAAAAGTGGGTCCTTGATCCGACCCCGCACCATACGATCCCCCCTAAGAATATTGATGCAGGCTTGTTTGTGAGCTTTATATACCCTTCAGTGTCCTGCCTCCGTATTGTCCAGGGTCAACTCTTAAGTTGAGGGAGCTGCAGGCAGCAGATTTGCAGCAGATCAAGGACCGGGGTCGGATCAAGGAGTGGGCCTACACTGTATCAGAAGTGTGGCCCACATGCGCCACCCGTTCTCCCAAGCCCCACTGCCGTCGGTGTTTGGCGCACTCTCTTGATCAATGACTCGCCGCGGGCCTTGAGTGGAATAAGAAACGAATGGAGAGATCCCGAAAGTTGTGTATCGTCGAGGGTGACGAGCTCACCTAGATGCGCACGGACCAATCACCCCTTTCTGGGCCACAAGCGCAATGGGCACGACATTTGAAATACAATTGCCCCGCAACGCCTTAGAATACATCCGGTAAGTACCAAACGCTCGTCCCAAACCAGCGACAAATCCTCACCCTCGCCTTTCCAGGGCCTGGATGAAAAGAAATAAGTAAGATATCAAGAGTGGGCAGACAACATTCCGGAAGCTGGGAGCAAACAGCGGTCTCTGAGTGGGGCCCATAGTCCCACACGCTCCGGCGACAATGATTGTGGACACGAGCTGCTCTTGTTGGGCGAGGAGAACAGGCTCTGGCCAACGGTCTTCGGGAAACGAGAGCGAGCCATTACCCGTATCTCGCCTTCGCCATCTGCATGAACATATCCATCGTCGCCTTATCCTTCTCGCGTATCGCTGTAACCCTCTCACTCGTCTCGGCCATCCTATCATCTCTCGGGCCTCGTTTCTTCTCCTCGAACCTCTTTCGTGCTGCGTCTCGTTGTCGAATCCTACACGCATCCAGGGACATTATTGTCAGGATGACGCCAATACCAAAGAAATACTACCAAGGATGGATCCAACACCATATCGTTGCATGTCCCTCGTTGGAAAACTAGAGCAAAACAAGAACAAGAACGCACCGATCCTGAAAGCTATCTCCACCACCCATCAACGTTCCCTCATCCAACTCCAGCCCCGCATCCTCCCTCGCCTCCCTGAACGCCTTATCGCCCTCCCTCTTCTCCCGTTTCTTCTCCATCAACCTCTCCCTCCCCACCTCTCTCGGCCCATTCACATCCTCATCCCTCTCCTTCGCCTCCCGTTTATCTCTCTTCCTCTTCAACGACTTCTCCTCCCATGCCGCCTCCTCCTGTAGTTCTCTTGCAAGTGTGAGGTCGGAGGACGAGGGGAGTGTAGGGCCTATCGAACGTCCGGGGAGGGAAGGGCCTTGGATACGGGCGGAGGAGGCACCGTTGCTCCCATTATTGGTGAGGGCACTGATTTCGGAACGGGTGGCTTCGAGGGCTTGACGTTCGGCTTTGGAGCGTGAGGACGCGAAGGACCATTTGTAGGCCGTCTGGGACTGCGCAGGGAGGGCGGTGGGATCTATCCCGGCGTAGAGATCCTCTGTGTGCCGCACGTCATTCCATAGTCGTCTTTAGACCCAGACTACGCAGGTTCGCAAAGCAGAAGAAACGCACTGGATAGTTTACCGCGGTTCCAGTCCTGGGTTTAATACAAGGATACAAGTGAGTTGTTGAACGTGCGCGATGCGGCGAAGGGTGTGGACCGACCTTGACGAATTTGCGGAAATACCTGCGTTTCAAAGTCTGAGCAAATACGGCTACATGGGCGAATACGTGTGACCGAGTCGAGCTGTGGTAGGATCCTCACTTTCGTGCTTTCTCGCCCGTCAGCTCATCGAAGTACTGTCCAAAGATTCACGCATCAACATAGTGCACGGATATGCAAGACAATCATGCGTGATGCGCACCTTGCGTTTCTCATCCTTCAGCCATACCCGAAATTCTGCGCTCTTCAAGAAATAGTCCTGCTCTGAGATAGGTTCCGCGCCTCCCGGAAGGCGGTTCTGAGGTTCTGGCGAATCTGAACGAGATCTGTCCCTGCCGGGCGAGCGAGAGCGTCGGGAAGACATAGTTACCCTTTATTCGCTGAGCGTGGATACCTGGCAATCAAAGAGGCTCAAGTAGCGATATGTTGGTAAGTTTATGCTTCGGTGGTGGTGGTAGAAGGCGAAGAGTCAAGACGAGTTTACGTCATATAAAACGTCGTTGTGGGGGCGTGGATGCAAGAGCCGAAGTCCTTTCGGAGCGCCTCTCTAGACTGGCCACGTCCGGACACGTCGAGCCTGATCCCAACAAAGGCTTTCTTCGTACACTACAGTCACCCAGGGCGTCTGCCTGATCTTCATCTTCTCTGTTGACCCTTTTACTCAGCGCTACCCTTTCGATTCCCTGCCATTTCCCTTGATATCTGAAACAACTTCTCCATGGGTCGCTGGACGCAGTACGATGAGGTGCGTCATGATGATATTCACATCTTCATTTCAGACAGAGGGATCTGAATAGCTGACTTGAACGTCTGGGTTGACTACTGCACAGGATGAGGCAAGGTTGCCAGAAGGAATGACCCGCGTAGGGTATGACTCTGATACGGGCAAGTACTACTTCCGCGACTCTGACGGTTCCCTCTGGGAGGGCCCTGAAGGAGCCCAGTATGGAGAGATGGTCAAGGGTGAGTCCGTCATATTCATGCGTGGACGGACGGCGACCATTGACGTAGAACTTTCTGGACAGTCTCCGATGCACCCATTGCTCTGGGTGAGAGCAGCAACGGCAACGATGTAGAACCTGGTGGGCGGGCGGACGGTTATTCACCACTCGCTGTGGACCCTGTAAGTCTGTTCGTCCATACCTTTCCACACTTACGCTGATGCATTCATCGCTACTCTCCTACCCAGAACGGGACCCGCATTCGATCTGAATCTCCGTACCGCATGCTCTTCCCCTTCCTCCTAATCATCATCGTGATCCTCCTCCTCATCGGCCGTCTCGTCGTATTCCCCTCATCCTCCTCCTCCACCCCCGCCAAACTCTGCCCTTCAGGCAGTACCGCATCAGTGATCGTCAAAGGCGACACCTGCTGGGCCATCGCAAAGTCGCACGAGAGTAGTGTGGACGACCTGTTATCGTTGAATCCTGGTTTGGACTGCGACACCTTGAAACCTGGACAGAGGATCTGCGTGAGGTCGGAGAGCAGCACTAGTGGTGCACGTCGCGGTTGATGAGCCGCATCATTGTGGTGGACATTGGACTTTTGCGGATGTGAGGTATTGGTCGGATTCCTAGGTTGATAGGTATCGGTTCTTGTTTTCTATGTTTCTCCCTCTCTCTCGCTCTCTCAACAGTTTGCATCTAGTTCGTCTCCTCGTTTCTTTCGGAGCTCTTAGTAAATTAGTCTTTCTTGCATCGCATCTTCTTGTGGAACTGTAATACCATCTTTACACAGCTTTTTCTCCCTTCAATCTCAGACAACCTCAGACATCCCTCGAGGCTTTCCCAGAAACCAAAATATTGACTCCAGAACAGATCGAATGAATGGTTCGACGAACGGAAGTGGGAATGTCAGCCCCGATCACGAACTCGTTCATCCGCGCAAGAGACGCTCCGCTGAGCAAATCACGCCCATCAAGCCTTCCAGACAGCCTCTGAGACGCTTCCGCCTCCTTTTTCTTGCTGGGGATCGGATGACGTCGCCCTTGTTGTCTCGGCTCGTAAGCGCCTCTGCCTACAAAAGCCTGCTTGTCCAGGATGAATTTGGCATTATCCACTCCCTCATCTTCTCTGTCTATCTTTCTTTCGCCACTTTGCATAACGTCTATTTCCCACATCTTCTCGTCTTCAATCACCATACGCAATGACAGTGACTGCTGAAACTCATGTTCGCCGTGGACACCCGAGTACGTCGTCATCACATCTCTCTACTTTTCGAGATGCTAACAACGTGTCCGTGCTACAGTCACCTTCGGTCTCATCATCTTGTTTTCCATCATCGAGCTAGCAGTTTCGGCGTGGCTAGTGGCTCGCTACAACCAGCACCACAACTACCTCTCGGGCTCTGAGAACAATCGTGTCCGCTTCCTGCTCTTCAACTCCATTTGGACCCTGCTCCTCGCACCAATCTTCATGGGCGTTTTCTTCGCAGCGCCAACCAGTTTCTTGGGTAGCTTGTTGAGCCACTCTGTCTTGTGAGTGATAGTTTCTGTTTCGTTTCCGCGCCACACCTTTTTGCACGGCTGGGTGCCACAGCCCCTATCCGCCGCTTCCTCGACCCTTTCGATGCGGCATGTAGACTCATCACTCACGGCTATGTCTACTTAAATAGCATCTTCCTGACTTGGGTCCTTTGGCTCGCTGGTGCTGCAGCCATCACCGCGACTCTCGGCGGAAGGCTCGATTGTGGCCTTAACTACACCTATTGTGGACAACTCAATGCGCTCGAGGCCTTCGCCTGGATCCAATGGTGAGTACTCATAGCCCTTGCGCTCTCCAACGCTAGCATATTAATGTCATCGTTGTCAACAGGGTGCTTCTCACGTTCGCTCTTGTGTCTGTTATTCTGCTTGCAATCCGCGCGAGGAGAGCAGGCAACGGGGTGAAGGGTCCAATGGTCCAAACAACCACTGTCTAGTTTTCTCATTTCTCGACGCAGTGTACCTTGTTCCTGTTTTACGACGCAACCATTCTGATATGATTTGAGACTCCCTACTTACGCTGTGCTTGCTTGTATATCATCGCTTGATACTTGTATTGTAACGCATCATTATGTGGCGTGTTTATATTATCGAATGGATTTTAACGACCATGACTCTGTGCGTGCTACTCGAATCGTTGCAACTAGCCCAGTGGTGTCCATTCCGCGCGCGAGTAATCACGAAGTAATGCTACACACGAATTCCATCCCAAGTACCGACAAGAGCGTGAGCATAATTAACCAGACGTGTCCCCTCGTTCTACACAGTTATGCTTGCACCGCACAGGCCCGGCGGTGCTCAGGAAAAGTCCACCCGAAGCGGGTTTGTACAGTGAGTAAACAATAAAAGGCGCAGGCAGTGGATGTATGGGGTAGGAAGTGCCGGTAGGTCTCGAATGGGAGCCTAATTGCGACACGAGCGCGACAAGAGAACGCCAATGTATGAATGCATAAGGGGAGGAGTAAGGGAGGGAAGCTGAGTAGAGGAAGCGGCCACGAAGTAGTGTTGAGGATTATGAGACAGAATCGCATGGGAATAGAAAGAAAACGGAAGAGCCACAGAGTAGGAGTAAGCAAAGGAAAGAAGATAAAATAGAAGAAAGGGAGCAATAAGCAGATTGTGCCGACTACGCTGGGTCGGTTGCAGCCTTGTACGGCCTCGATAACGACGTCGACATCAGACTGTTCGAGTGGCCGCGTCATCGTAGGCTTCGTGACAGAGGCGGCCATCGCCCCCAGCGATATTCCCCACCATGGGGTGACCTTCGCTGAATCTCCGTGTCCTTCGCCTGACGTAGATAGATGCTAAACGTGATCCACTCCGGTCCCCTTGTGCTGGTAAAGCCGATAGATCGACATCCCTTCGACGGGCGTCTGAGTTGGACGATAGTTGGAGGAAAGAAAATGTCGTTGACGATATGTAGGGTGCGTGGATGGAGATGGCGGCTGTGATGGTCGAAAGTGGGTGATGTTTGTGTAGCAAAGACCCAACGTCTCGATGACCGTACGCTTGGTAGGATTGTTTCAATGAGGTCCAGCACCATAGCGCCATTGAATAGGACTGGGACGATGAAGGTAAGCTCGGTCCTGTAGGGGTGATTATGAGTGAAAGGATGTGAACCGAAGGCCATAGCAACGTGGTGGCGGAGTGACGGCTTGCGTTCACAATTGTGGATTCCTGACCGGGATATCAACCTGGTATGTCACGAAACAGTCAGGATACAGAATCTGCATATAGACAGAGAGAGGTGCTGACCGGGTAAAGGAATCGTGTTGGTATCACCCACGTCGTCCTCGTCCTCCTCCTCCTCCTCATCGTCATCCTCCTCGTCCGACCAGCCTTCGTTTTCGTCTCGGTAGCCGTCGTCGTCGTCAACACTGCTCGACTCATGTATATACGAGCCACCATCTAGGGTCGCGTTGCCCCAGTCTCGCGCGGGTTTGTAGTTCGGGGGCGCCAGCAGCCTATCAAGCTCTTGGAATGTATCGTCGTTCATTTGTATTGCGCCGCTCCGGATATGTGCTTCGAGCCACGGCATGATGAGATGCTCCGAGTACCAGATGCCTAACAGTCACGCCCATAAGTAACGTTCAGACCAAAATGCCATGTGCATTACCTTCGTCGCCGAGCATATAATGCGGGTTTTCCTTACTAACCTTGATGAAACCCAAGGCGGCTATACACATATGCGGAGCAAGCGCCAATAAAGTCAGACATATATAAAGAAGGAGGGAAAATCGAAAGACTGGTTACTCACAGATAGCGTCCGAGAAATCTGCCCAGAGAAACTGGCCCCGTTCGGGAACGAGACATAGAACCTCTGAGGCTGGACAGATAGATTGTCTATCGGACGTCCAAAGGATATTGACCCTGGGTGCCTCCTCGAAGTAGACCGACACGCCATAGCCCCATTGATTAGTTTCGTCAAGGATTGGAACTGCCTTGGGAGTGCTAGGTGCCGGTGCTCTCGACTTCAAATACTAACAAAGGGGAATTCTATCAGTCATGAGAGCCAGAGCTTGCAGAGCAGAAAACGCACCTGGACCATTAATAAGGTGAACAGTGATGATAATGTCATCGTCGCGACACATAGCAGGATAACTGACTCAGTGTGCCAAAGGGATCTGCTCCCTTCGCCGACTCTGATGAGAGAAGGCGGTAGAGGGAGCTCGGAGGGGAAGGGCAACCCAGTGTACATCTCCGGTCCATGCACAGGCTGCAGAACAGACGAGGGAGTCGGGTCGTAGTAGACATCTATGATGATGCCGGAACTCGACGAAAAAGAGAAATCGGAAGACGATAAAGGGAGCCTGAGGTCCACAAAAGAATCGGGAGTTGGTTCAAATGCGGGAAGACTCAGCCGACTAATAGCGTTTTTGACGAATGTTTGTGTTGAGAAGATGAGAGAAGAGAAGAGTAGACCTGCAAGCGGAACGATACCGCACAAGAGGGGCAACATGCTGGTTTGATGTCTAGTGGAGCGAAAGACGTGAGTAGCGTGTTATATAGCGAGCACTGCTGACTCGAGAGGCACGGCCCTAATTCCCAAAGAATCACAAAGGAACTCCAGATAAGAAATCAGAGCACAAGAACAATGAGGTAACGTTATTCGATATTGGAATACTGATGCGATCGACGCCACTGAATGGTTCGCCACCCAAATGAGACAAAAGAGAACAGCCCCGAAACGCAGCCCTCCACGTTTCGACGAGCTTCGGGCTCTGCAGCCAAGATACCGGGAATTCACGACCAGGCCTCTTGCCTTACTGGGTACAACAATAACACGCCAACGCCAGGCCGCGGCTGCGCAGTACGTGTTTGAGATCTTTCGCGTACGGACCTAATACGACGCCCGGTCGCTTCCCATCGATTCCTTTGTGTCAGAGTATGTACTTGTGCCATGGCACGGCCGATGATGGGCCCTTATTGACACGCGCGCCGCGGCATTGACGATCGACATCATGATTCCACTTACGGTGTGTCCTTTCTGTTAGGTCTTTTCTCGATGGCACATCCCTCGTTATCTTGCCTTCGATCGTTCACATGTGTTGCCAGCTTAGCTTCTAGTGCTCCCTTGTGTTGATCTGAATACGGAACTGCATCAATGCCGTACTTGAAAGAGATGGCACACGGGAGTCAGCATCTTGGAGCCATGGGACGGCACATAAATCGTAGGGACACACTTATATATAGACGGGAGCTATTTATTCGTCTTTGTTATTATCGTCCCCTTTCCGCACATCTCTCCAAGTCATACGCTCCTAGCCAGTCATCGATATCAGGATTCGAATATGATTTTATTCTTCTGGCTCATCCCGCTCACTGTATGCCTCACAACTATTCCTCTCCTGGTACCGCTCCCACTTTCTATCTCTGATCTGTACAGAAAGATCTCGCCCTCGTCATGCTCATCGCCTTCGCACGCCCTTGGAACTACTCGCCACCCGTCGCTCCCGCCAATACCCTCCGTCCACGTCATGCTGCAGTACCTTTCGGACGCATCACGCACTCGTGAATCCTTTGTCTATGGCCCTCGCATGTACACTGGTACTCCGTTCCCCGATCATCTCCCTCTGCCCGCACATCTTCGGCCGCCACCCGCGTTTTGGAACCTCAGCAGGGTCATCTGCAGTTGCACTATCGTTGGCACTCTTGTCGCCCACGTTCAAGCTGTATGTGTTATACTTATATCATCATCAACCTCTGAATACTTAACTTTGAATCTTCCTCCGTCATGTACCTCAGATTCTCATTGGCAGAAGAGCGAAGCCGCAACCAGCATCTATGCAATCGCCACCGACAACTGTCGAGACGATCAAGTATAGGCTGAGGAATGGTTCAGACCATTCGATCGCTACGCTCAACACTCCAGAGATCGACGTCATCTCACCTAGACTAGCCCTGATATACAGGAGCAATCCTGCAGATCCACTCGCAGACGCCAACTTGGGTATCAACTTGGCGGACGTCTGGTCAGATGCTAAGAGAGGTAATAGTCTGATTGTTCGGTCGAAGGTTCAATGCTGAGCTCCTATAATTTCGGTTCCTTCCTTATAGTCAGAAGTCACTTGTGGTTCAAGTCGCCGTCGAGCGCCACTGGCGGTGTTGGTATAGGTCTTGAAAAGGAGTGTCTGGCCGGCATCAGGATGTCGTACATGCTCGCCCCAGACTTACTCAAATTCAGCTTTTATGCAGAGGTACAGGATGGTCCGTGTCCTATTCTACTCTCTTTTTGGTGGCATCGAAGTAAACCAACTCGTTATTTTCAGTGCAGCCTAGACTCCATAAGGCTTGTGCATGGGCGCTACGGCAGTGTATCACCTATCTTGAACTGGAACAGACTATGGGGAAGCTCGGTTTTCTTTCCTTCATACCTAATGCATCTGAATCAAGTCCATCGGCGCCCAATTCTGAGAATCTGGAAAAGTATCCTTGCCTAAATCAACTGAATGTGCGTAAACAATATTCTCTGTTCCTGTCTCTCCCAACTCTATTGCCTTGACCATACTTATAATTTGCAATACAGTTGGAGAACGCGAGACGGAAACTGATTGGTTATCTTCTGTATGCTTTCCCCACCATCGGGTATGTTGAAATACTGACGATATTCTACATGCAGGGACACGACCATAGATCGTCCAGAGGAAAGTATCTTTCACTTTGAAGCCCTGATACGCAATGATTCCGCAGCGCCACACTGGTGGGAGACTGGGTCTGAGCTCAGTCCTTGGCTGACAGATCCGTGAGTACCCGTATCGTCCGATCGAATTATATTCCCCGGCCTCATCGCAGGACTTTACCTCGTAGCTTGACATTCGCGCGCTATGGAGAAGCACTTGCCAGGTCTGGCCTTGATGATAGAATGGCTGCAAGAGCTCTCAAACTTACACTGAGACATCAACACTGCTTGTCGTGCTTGACGCATACACCGGAACACACGAGATACGGCACAGCGGCATGTTCAGAGACTGTGTTCACGACTAGGGTCTATCTCGCCAGAGTTTTACGGCGTATGGGCCAAGTTGACGAGGCCGTATCTCAGTACGTATACAGTTATTACCGCTGGAAATAAATCACTCACATTTTGACATGCTCCAGGGAACAGGTCTGTATCGACTGGCTGCAAAGTAAACCATTCGTTCTGGCGAACAAGACTCTCCAAATTCTTTTGCCGCGTCAGGACATTGCCAACGAATCCAATAGTATCCTCTCCGCCTTAGGCGGTCCTTCATGGTTTCAGACGAGGCTACCGACCTTAAGGGACGACGAGTGGGTCCGAAAGGGATGCGCAACTTGCAAGAGCGTGGGGGAAAATCAACTGCACAGATGCAGTCAATGCAAGACTGTACGTTATTGGTACGTATCACTACTGCTACTCTCATACAGACTCGCCCAAGCTAATAACTGAGGCCACTCAGCTCGAAAGATTGTCAAAGGGAAGACTGGGAGTCTCATAGGTCAGTGTTGTACACGTCATGTTGATTTTCCTCTGACCGTGAATCTGTCTCTAGGAAGCTTTGCCCGTGAGTCTATTCTCCCTTGTTCGGCTCATAATCTCCGTTGATAATTTTCGACGTAGGATGCTTTCAGCAAGAAGGGACTATGTTGATGCGCTCAACACAGACGACCCACAACGCGCACAGAAACTAGACGACTTCAATGCTTGGGTCATGATGCCAGATCGGTCTCGGATTCGTGCGTTTACTGACGCACTCGGGCTGAGACGCGACATAGAGCGTGGCCGGACGTGGATCCTCTTCCTTCAGGTTACCTACGACCAGCACATCCAAGGGAAGAAGCGCAAGTTTCGTATTGACGCATGCAGCGCATTTCGTATAAGCGACGTGGTGGAGATCATGTCGATGATTATGAGAATGAGTGAGCAAGATGTCCAGACATGCATCGATCAGAGGCTCGCGCGTGTGGATCCTACTAGCGCGACCGTGAGTATGCTCAGTCTGAGTTATGAACAAGGTGGCGCATCCGCAGACTGGAGCTTAGACAACAGTACGCCATCCCCATGATATATTGTGTATACGGTTTCAAATTCTGCTGACAACCTCACTTATGATCATATAGCTCCAATCTCCACCGAATTCCTAAGAGCCCACCCAGAGCATTCCAATTGGCGTTCTCTACTGAATAAGGATTTACCACCTGCCGATATCCACGAATTCACCTTCTATAAAGTTGAAAAAGACGACCTTGTTCCCGATGACCATGGGCCGAACGTTTCGTGCAGCCATGATCGACCGTCGGGGGACGCGAGAACCGTTTCCTTATCACCGATCGAGCATCGAAGCTTGTTCTCTTTATGGAGAACGAGATATACGATAGGGGTCTATATCACTGTGTTGCCCGCTTTGGTTTGGTATTGCCTCAACACCGGGGGAAGGAAACGCAACTCATTGGAATAGGTCATTGGTTCTGTTCCACCTCGCCATTGTAATATGCTGTAATATGTCGTCTTCTATGCTTGTTTCTGAAATACCCATATGCTTTTCCTACCTTCTATGTGTCCACTTTCCATCTAACTATGCATGCACCCTCGCCAGTTATATTAGTCTCTCTTTTACTACGTAATTTTACGCTACTATAAATCAAGTATGATTGAATGACTTCGACTTGTTGGTCACGCCTGTCAGTCACGAAATTGGAGCATTCGGAAGAATCAGGTGGATGCATCAAGACCGACGTCGCGTTCAAGAGAAGACATTCATCGGAAGTGAAGGAGATACAGAAGCGTATGCTAGTAAAATTACCGAAAAAAGTGATAGAAATATGTAAATTGACACAAAATAAGATGACAACGCTTCTCGTGGGCAAGCCAGCAATCAGCCGAGCCGTTACCATAGTCGCAGCAGATAGGTATTGCAGAGTTGGGAGAGATTTGAATTCTGTGAGAGTTTATTGTTAACGGATCGCATAGAGTCCGTCTAGATCGAGGAATCGAGCCTGCGACGAAGGTATCAACACAAGTCAGGCAAGTAATTTTGCGAACGAGGACATACCCTTCAGCACGAGGATGAGCGCCACTATCGGACCCTGTGGCACGTTTGTGCATATCCACCTGCTCCTGAGCATTGTCGTTGCTGTTCTCCTTGACCTTCGGCATCCTACTCTTTGAAGGAGTCGTCGTATCGGTGACAGAGGGCAGCGATGCGCGATCCTTCTCTTCCTTGATCAACCCAATTGATGCTGGCGCACTTCCAGATGCGCCACTTGCTGGTTGTGGCGAGCTGGAAGACGTTTGTCGATGAGGGTGTGCTCCTGGTGCAGGAGCCGAAGGACGAGGAACTGGTTCAACTTGATTGGAGAGGCTAGGTGCTGTGGTACCAGCAGGCTGGGGAACGTGGTTGGATGGTCGGCGTGGGTCAGATGGATTGGGTACCACGGTGGGCGGTTGTGGCGTGTGACGACGGAACGGGGGACGCTGAGTTAGAGGAACGCATAGCAGGTTCCAGAAGACGTGGAATACTGTGGGATTCTGGAAAAATACTTGCTCTTCCTGGTAACCCTGGAAAAAGAACGGGAGAATTTGACTTCGTGCAATCAGTGGACCTATGACCGTAATCACTAATGAGCGGGTTGCACAAAATACGGGTTTTATGTAAGTCGCACCTTGGTCGTGTGCAATACGATGTTTAGCGCAGAGGCTGGTGAGACTATGTTGTGTCGACACAAATATCTGAAACTCCTTCAGCCAATGCTTGCCGAACTGCCCCAAAACCGGCAAACGAATATAGTGGACAACGCCTAGGGTTACCTCACTGTCAGCAGTTCCCCGCAGAATAAGTATTTTCGAAGGACATACCAGTCTCCGTTTGAAGCATCACAGAGGCTGGGTTGTTGGCAATAAACTCTTTCCAACCGAGAAAGCCCTCGGGGTAGATATCCTCGGACAGAGGGAAAGTAGCGCGTTCGCCGGCGGGAATTTCGAGCATTGAGCAAAACGCGTCATAAGCGTTCTTGGTCCTGAACCGTCGCAGCTCTGGATCCGCATGCAGGAAGAAGTCCTTCAAGGCATTCACAGGAATCAGGTCGCCTAGTAGGGAAAAGATCAGCACTCGACCACCCTCCATCGCAAAGAGCTGCTCACGCTTGTCAGAAATACTTGTTGTTACAGAGAACACCAGAGTTAAGAGGGCCTGATAATTGTATATGACGTTGCCCTCCATCAGGCGAAGAAAATTGTACACGCCAGGCCATATGACATAGAGCAGAGCTCCTGCATGTTCAAGTCAGTGCCATTGAACTCCATGGAAAGAACAGATGCAGCAATTCACCATGTTCATCTCGAACGTTCTGAGAGAAGCATGCTTCCAATTTCCTTTTGAGGTCCTCAGGAGAGTTTTCTGGTGGTGGTGCAGACGGTCCTACGCTAGTCGCTGGAGTACGAGTTTGCGCAGTCTGAGCAGAAGATGAAGTGGCGGATGTGGCGGTGGCGCCAGGCTGGGCTGGGAAAGTAGCGTGGTTTGAGCTTGGAGGGGACGTCGAAGAGGGTCCAGATCGACGGGCCTCGGTCAATCCACTCGTCGACGCGGAGGTCGAAGGTGGGGAAGGCGCAGATGAAGTATTGGAAGAAAGAGTGGGTGCAGAGGTGGGTTTGGGGACTGCTGGAATTTGAGAAGGATGAGATCCTTGCGGAGTGCCCGCCTGGAAGGGAGCTGTAGATGTCGACGGGTTGGTAGTTGGTGCAGTAGATTTCGTAGGTTCTGGCTGAGCGTTTGAAGGGATGTCTGCGAAGATGTCGACATCTGCTAATTGTGCCATTGCCTGCTTTGCGTACGCGCTTGAAAACCGAATGTGGGGCTGACACTTGCGCAAATACTCGCGAAATGCTCCTATACGGATCCAAGAGACACCTGATCAGGAAGTCAGTACGTGTAAAAAGTACGACTCGTGAAAAATTCCACTCGCCGTCTTGAATGAAATGAGTGCGAATGTGATTGGACGTCCTCAATTTGTGAAGAGCCTGCACTGCTGGTGGGGTACACATAAATTGGTTGCCCCATGTTTCACAGTACAGGTCTATTGCTTTCGGAGACAGGCAGGATGCTTTACCTGTCATCAGAAGAATATAAATCGATGTATATTTTATATGGGCACGACTGGACGAAATTTACCATTATGGCGCAGGTGCGACCAGCGCGCAAAGCCCTGCGTTAAATGATTTTGCCACTGTTTCCAGCCTGAAGAAGAATGAGTGCAATGTTAGATATATTCCCAGAGATAGGTGCCTGACAAAGAACAGAGCTCACAGTCGTAGTCCGTGATATCTGCGTAGAGTCGTTTGTCCTTGTACGTAACGATGAGGAGTCGCGCTTTCTCGGGAAGTTGATGGGCATCTGCGGTCAGAGATACGCGATATGGTGCAGGAGAGGGTATGTCCGCGTCCAGATGTATTTCTATGTCCTTCAGGATAGAATCGTTCGCTGGCGAGGCGACATCAATCACGTTCTCAGTCCCCTCCTTCTCCACCACCACGATTTTTTCAATTTCGACCACACGCGGAGGAACTATTGTTTCTTGTCTTTGGACAGAAAGGATCTACAGGAGAACAAAGGAAGGATCGTCACCACAATATCTAAGCACAACAAGATATAAAAGCAGAATGCGCACTACACTTGACGCCACCCCTACTATTATCCCAGCAATAAACCCGCATAGAATTGCGCTCTTGTTCCAACGCAAGACATCGTAGACTATCGTCCGCAACATGGCCTTCGTGGAGGAGAATATGACAGGATCGAGGACGGGGAAGGGGTTGTGGGACAGCGGGGCATCGCGAGACGTAGTGTCATTGGCGGAAAATGTCGTGTTCAAGAGATATACAGCAGGTTGGACATTCAGTTTGCTCTGATATGGTGAGGTGTAGAGGTTGAAAGGGAAGTTTGAGGAGAGGAGAGGCCTGTTGCTAAAATCAAGCGCTCGAAAGAGTAACGGAACGAGAAGAGGTGCAGACACGAAGAGTGCTGTAAGAGGGATAAGGACCAGTGGTATTAGGAGCATTGCGTACTCCCGTGTGCAAGATACAGAAGTATTCAGTGGGTCTGGGTGTGCTGTCTGATCTGAAAGGTTGGAGAAGCAGGGCGCGGGTTCGCTCTTACTTATGTATCACACGCAGGCCACAGCTTTATAACCTTGAATTGGAACAATGAAAGTGATCGTTTGTTGTATTGCGACCCGGGTGTGGGAACCACTGTGTTGTATTCACGAACCAGGAACAAGGAAGCCCACTCACCCTCGAGACCGACTGATTGGGCGCCACCGCAAGCGGTGTAGGCCACAGCTCTCCAAATCAGGCAGTCCAGGGGGTGGCGAGGTGGCGCACAATGAAAACAAGATTTGAGAGAGAGGAGTGGCGACATGTCCCCATCCGAGTCATGCTCCGCCGGACATAAGAGGATGACGACGTGGTGCCAATGAAGTTACTCCCAACTAGAAGCAGTCATCACGAGCGAGAACGAGGAGCCCCGAGGAAGTCAATAAGAATGGAGAAACAACGGTATGCGGATTTCTCCGAACAACCTCGAGCAGCCTCGAGCTCGAGCGTCGCAATATCTAGCGATACAAACGACGAAGACCACGGTCCAAATTCTACGAACTCTTTGAATCCACGATCCGCCATCGCACATCAGGCCGACACTGAACTGGTAAGACACACGGACATCCAAGCGGTCACCGGTGTTCAGTGGGGAAGCTCTCGACTAAGCAGTGTTGCGGCTACTACTGACGCTATGCTAATCAGAGTAACATGGAGTGAGGTGAGTACTGATTCAGGCATTCAATGAGTACGCGAAGACATACATCTCCTCAAGGCATTGCGCTAAAGATCGTATTGCCTGTTCCATAGTGCGGGAAATCATAAGTAATGGCCGATGCGACGGGTCTCCAAAGAACAACAGAGTTCACAACGATATCCCGCCCGTCATTGAACTAACAACAGGCGAAAACACTCCACCAAGGTACGAGTTAGTATACGTGCTGCCTCTGGAGTTTTCTTCGTTATCCTTCAAATCAGTTAATGCGGAGCACGACTTACTCCTTTTGGACCTCAAGCAGATTCAGAGTACGCCCATCTCCTTCGATAGCCAGCTAATCCTAGGCCTGCGCAATAACGCATCGACGACCAGGACCTCAGGCTCCAGGCAGCTTTGCGCTCAGTCGTCAAACGGACTGAGCTCGAAAGAGACACTTATCTGCGAATACTTTGCGTCGCTCCTCGCTCCTTTTTAGGCATGGCTGGTGTCGAGCTGGAGCAGGGAGAACACGATGGGCTCGCGGAGTGCCAACTCGTTCAGGAAAGACGATCATGGCGGACGAAGGAAAGCAAGGCGGTGAGTCATCACATATGACAACCGCGTTTTACGCGTCTTACACTGGCACGTGGCGAACCCTCGAAGGAGGCTTTTCGACGCGCCGATTTCCCCTGAGGGCCACTTCTCTCATTTCCGAGGCCCCTTCTTCTCTTTGCCCAAACTACCCAAGATTGGATCGATTGTGACAGATCATACACCATTCACTGCTGTCGCACACGCCCTAGGTATCTCGATCGCCATACATATAAGATCCTGCGAGGTATGTCTTTCGCTCGTCAAGCTTCTCTTTCTGACCCTCATCTCGTATCCCACTATGCCGCGATTTATTGATCTTTCATAGCCCAAAAAGAAGTTGTTACAGCTACGAGACAGCGCCCTTCAGAGCAATCCAAAGGTATATGCAGAAAAGAATATCCAGACGGACGAATTTAGTGAGCTCTTCCCATCCTGATCGCTCATGTTTACGGCCTAAGTCCTTGCACTGGGCACGGGTGTATCAGTCCCTCGTCGCTCTCGACAAGCCAGTAACGAAGCCTCAAGCAAATCTTCAACACAGATTCTTCGGAGCCAGGAAACCATGATCATCCCATCAACCCGACCTTTGCAAATGTCACAGGTAAGGTACGGCTGGAGTACCATCGTTGCCACGCCCGCCACAACATTGTCTCCCGAGGAAGACCACTATACTGACGAACGATTACAGAGCACGGAAGATCTATGGGGACACTTCAGCGATGATGAGAGCTTCGAACAGACCTGGCCTCATGATAAGGATACTGGTGAAGATTCCGACTCGGAAATGCAGGAAGGTAAGTCTTTGGTAGAACCTCCAACGAGACAGTCCACTGATATCGCATCTTGTAGTCGAACAGAGTAAGATATCCTCCGCAGGCCTAATCTCACGTCGACTGACTTCGACTCTTTCCTAGTCATGACAGACCCGGCGGAGGTATCGGATCCTCCGTCACCAGCCATACAGTCCCCCAGTCCTGCCAGTACCTCTCAAAATACACCGGTGACCACTCAGGAAGCTGTCGCCGGTTCAAGTGCCACACGTCGCCACGTCGCCAACCTTTTCGCACCGGAAATGAGAGCCCAAGCACGCCTGTCTGAGTCCTCGGCTGATTCCAAACCCAAACGTCCACGCATATCTGACCCACCACCGTTGAACCCTCGCATGGCGGCCGCGACGTCTCTGCCTGTACAGCCTATTGACGAACCCAGTGTCTTCCGACCAGTGACTACGTCTAGCTCAAGTCCGCGAAAGCGGCATTGTCCTAGCGTACAGAGCGCTATTTTTTCCACACCATCCCAAGCCCGCTCAGATGCAAGCTATCCCTCACCAGAGGTGTCTCCGGAACCGAAGCGGAAGGCCAGGTGCGTTGTACGATATGATTTCTCTCTATCCACCTAATGGAAAGCACGTAGGTCCACAACCGTAAAGGATCCTAGCTCTTCCAAGACGTCTCGTGTAACGCCCAACGCCGGGGCATCTTCGACCACAGTCGTAGCAAGACAAGCCCGCCAGCCCACGACCGAGAACGGGGTTTCCCGCGGTACTTCAGGTCCGACCAAACTCATTCGGAAACCACCACCACCCGCAGAACCAAGCGCGACCCCTTCGTCCGCGACATCATCCTCAGCTTCCCTCGCCCGAGTCTCAGCGACATCGTCCTCAGCGGCTCCTGCCCGAATCTCCGTGACATCGTCCTCAGCTGCGCCTGCCAGAATCTCCGCAACATCGTCCTCAGCTGCCCCTGCCCGAATCTCCGCGACATCGTTCTCAGCTGCTTTTGCCAGAATCTCAGCAACATCGTCCTCGACTGCCCCTGCCCGAGTCTCTGCGCCAGACCCAGCCCGCCCGCCATATGCCTTGCGACCCGATACCACACTGGATAGCCTGCTCGATGATGGACCCATGGATCTCCAGACCGAGGTCATCGCGCACGATGCTACCACGCAAGCTTTGTTCGAGCAGAAGCGGACGTCGTGGGGCGTGCAGCTCGAGTTAGCTCGGGGTTGTTTGAGCGGCGACTGGAATTGGGCAGACATCACGGCGGACAAACTGGACCAGTTGTCAGGTTCCACCGCTGACTGCCTACCAAACGTACGAAGCATCATGAAGAAAGGCCATGCCGCCGAAAGACCTCCTCATAATGCTGTGAAGACAGGGTAAGCATGTTTGTTGCCATCGGTGAGATTCTAGCTTGCTCAAACGACAACGACTTCCCCCCATGATTTTAACAGAGCGGAGTATGATCGCGAGCAGGAGGCTAGCGTCGAAGGCCAAGGCCGAGGACTGGGCCTCATGGGCCCGTGGCATGACGCGGATAACTGGTACGGTGGAAAGATACAACAGGTCGTGTTCTTGGATGCAGACGGCAAGACTTTCCACATCGAAGAGCCCGTTGTGGACGCATCGAACCGCTTCGCGCGCTACCTCGGATCACGTCGTGTCCTTCAATTGAAGCTACCTCCGCAATTCCAGTACGACAAAGACGGGACGGCGGCCGCGCGTTTGTCGAGGAAGTTCATCCTTCTCGGCCGCGTCTTTCTCGTGTTCGCGTCTAAGGATAGCAAGGTATTCTTGATGGAGACAAATGAGAACTACGAACGGGTTGCGGATCCGAGACAGGGCGATGATCGTCGTCTTTCCCTTGGTCAATTTCTCAGCTGGCATAACTCGTTCTCGCGGAATTCTAAACAGGTTCGTGATTAATGTTCACGACATAGCTGTTCCTCCTGGCTGACGCGCTGCGCAGGCGGTCAGCAAATGGGTCACTCGATTTGATCTCGGTCTATCAACATCTGTCCCGGTACTCCAGTTCGCACCCGATGATATCGAGGTCATTCCCGATAAATGTGAGTAAATCCACACCCTTCCGGTCTCGATACTCTACTTAATCACTCCGATCTCTCAGATCCAAAGGACATTGATCAGAGCAACGCCTCGACGGAGCAGACATTGACGGATGGTTGTGGCTTCATGAATATGGCTGCCCTTGTCGCCGTTGCTCGATCCATGGGTTTCCTCAGTCCGCATACCGCCGTCCAAGGTCGTATCGCCGGTTCCAAAGGCGTCTGGATGCTACACCCTGTAGACAGAGATCCGCATTCTCCTCCTCGAATCTGGATTCGAGACTCCCAGGTCAAGATCAAGCTTGGAGACCAAAGATTATGGAAGCGTGAACATCTGATCTTCGACTTCCTTGGTCCGTCACGCGTCACGTATCCCGGGAGGCTCTCGATGCAGTTCATCATCAACATGGAGCATAACGGGGTACCGAACGAAGCCTTTGCCTTGTTGATGGACGACGGTCTCAGGGAGCATATTGATCCCCTGATGAAGTGGGATGGTCCCGAAGCACCCCACCTTCTCCGAGATGCGTTGGACAAGATGGGTAACGTCTCCGGCTCGAAGGTACAGCAACTGGCAGGGAGTTCACGTCGTGCACTCGGTTTGGGCCAGAAGTTTGGGCGTGACAACGAGCAGCCTTTGGCGGGTGTGGAGGATGGTGGGGATCCTGCGGCTGAGGAAGCGGAAATTTTCTGCCACGAGCGAGTGATGATGATGCTGGCAGCGGGGTTCACCCCTAAGAACGCCATCTACCTTCGCACAGAGCTCAGAGAACTGATCTCGAGGGAAATTGAGAAGTGGGTCAAAAACTACCATATTGTCATTCCCCACTCCGCAGAGGCCTTCATTGTCCCAGGTACGTTCTCCGCTATCCATGTAACTCATGAAGGCGGATGTTGACGCTCCAATAGACCCCTACGGAATTCTCGAGCCTGATCAAATATTCTTTCAATCATCTGTACCTCTCAACGACCCTGCTACCGGAATGAATATGAACATATCTATCCTCGAGGGGCCATGCCTTGTATGTCTATGCCTGGTTTCCCGAACATTCATGTACCGACAACTTCTATCATATAGATCGGTCGCAATCCAGCAAGACTTCCATCCGACATACAAAAGGTGCGCCTTCCCGGTACAAATGTCTTAGACATACATTCATCATAATCTTCGACAGGTCACCGCCGTGTACCGTCCACAGTACAAGGAGTACAAGGATGTGATCATTTGCTCTATAAAGGGCAAGGTGTCCGCAGCCTTCCCTTTAGCTGGTGGTGGTACGTCTCCAAGCTACCTTCTTCACAGAGAATATCAGCCATGCTAATACTGGTGGAATAGATTATGATGGCGGTCAGTAATCATCGTTCCTGTACTATACCTCGACTGACCATACTGCGCAGATCGGGCTCTGCTGCAATGGAGTCCGACCGTAGTGGAACCGTTCTCGAGGCCTTACGCGGAGGTCGTCCCGCCTCCCCCAAATTTCATAGAGGACCATTTCGATAGCGAGCCTGAAAAGGTTGCCGCTTTTCATGATCGCGTTGCTGCGATGTCCTCCAGGGAGCGAAACCACGAGGTTATCAAGGTCTTGTTACGGGCACTAAACGATAGCAAGGTTGGCAAATATTCAAATTTCCACGATAATGCCGTATATGCCTACGGTTATGACGACCCTCGATCCATCCTTCTCGCATACCTGTGCGTGATTTACCTTCTTCGACTACGTACACCGTAAAGCGCGTTGCTCATCTTTCGTCTAGGTTCACGACTTTATTGGACTCGAATAAATCCGGTCTCAGGCTCAAGCCTGGAATCTTCGAACGCCACATGAAGTCCTTCGATCGGTCAAGGGCCCCGTGCATGAATGTCAAGGATCAAGAACAATTGACGCCCTACCTTCGCCGTCGGAAGGATCTCCCTATTTTCGTACTTGACCATCTTCAGGAGGCGGGAAGGAACTTCAAAGATGAACGTTTGGCTAAGTACGACCAGTTGAAAGCCTATGGCCCTGCACACGACGAGGAGCTCTCTATTCCTTGGAATAGGCTGTGTAGTTTTGCCACCACCATGGCACGCCCTGGACCGGACAAGCCACATCCCACACCTGTCTTCCTTGATGAAGTCGGCCGAGTCAGGGAATTTGTGAAAGAACTTTTCGACGAATGGCGCAAGACCTGCAGTTCCTATCATGAGGAGAAGAGGACCAGCCCGCGAAAGAAGACCAAGCAGTCTCCGTCTAATCGGAGATTCACCGATATCGCGAAACGTTTCGCAGACGGTCCGAAGGACATTCCTTGCCTTGAAGAATCCAACAAACTCGACATCGTTATGGCTTCATGCCTCTACGATTACGCCACGAAGAATGGTGTGGTGGAAGGCAAATCATTGCGCTTTCCGTTCCAGGTCGCTCTCTCTGGGCTGTGTCGCATAAAGGCGGATGCGTCGGAGGAAGGGGTCGTCTCACTTATTCGGTCCGTCGCCGACAGCTTGAACGCAAACCCAGCCATGGTGCGGGTTCGGAGGAACAGACAGGCTCAGGACAGCGCAGATTGACACTAGACTTCTGCTACCACTGCACGTGGATATTGCTACGAACACTGTCCCATGATTCCTCCTCATTTTGTAAAATGCTCTAGACTTCGTCAAGTTTTACCCTTTCTACTTGCATTTCATTCCATCTGACCGTCCATCGTCCTCTGTTTCGGTTTTGATCTGCTCTCCATTTTTCGGGCTTCGTCACGTCTCGTTACGTTTTCTCATCTTTGTTTCGTTCGTCCGTTCCACCTCTCCCATCTATTCCGTATCTCTTCGTGGAGTTATTAAGGATCTCTTTGTATCATTTCTTTTCATTGCGTCTTCTCAGTCTTCCATACCCCAATCACTTCCAACCTGTACATATAGTCAAGCTTCACGGCCCTGCTCATCTTCTACGACATCTACCATCTCATCGACTTTCCGCAGATTTATGCTTCCTCGCATTATCAAGATGCTCGTCAAGCTCTGAACCGTTCAGCACGCCCACCTTCCGGTCACGTTGTTTCAACAAAATCAAGCATCCAACTTTGTGATCAAGCTTAACGCGGAGCTGCACCCGATACCCACAGTGCCACCAACCACTTCCTCTCGTTTGGTCATCTTTGTCGACTCAATCTCGTAGGCATGAACTTCTACAAGCTGTCGATCACGCCTAAAGACCCTTTTGGAGAAGCGACATGATGTACCGACCTCGAACGCCACACCACCAAGCAAACCAGGGGCCACAATTCTATGCGCTGAGATCGCCTACAATGAAACCCGCTGACAATGGTTTCTACATGTTTTTTTGGTGGGATTATTGGAAGATTGTGATGGTGACGTATTCTCAACCGTCAAGGCCCCAGGTCTCCATCAAGCCCCCGTAAACCTCGTGAAAACGGTCGTGGCCCAACTTCAAGGCCATCTCGTCAGAGACCTTGTTCTCCGCCTTCGGTCCCCTGTAGCCATTCGGGAACCAGCGCATATCATCGACCGTCTTTCCCGGCATAGTGGGCACAGAGACGCCTTTTCATAAGCGTACAGGGTATCGGATACTCCAGTGTGGCAAAAGATACAGTATTCTACAACGACAGAGCGAACACATCAGCAAGAATCGACCAAACAATCAACATCCCCTCGACAAGCAGATAGTGGTACATCACAGCATGACCCTGCTCGGCTTTCCGTCCAAGAAATTCACAATATTTTCGACGGTTTGTGCATAGAACGTCTGTTCGATGGACTATCAACATACAATTCTGAGAAGATGCGATCACGGGCCTACCTCGTAGCTTGAGTCGCACACATATCCCAGGTGCGGACTGAGTGTGACGTTGTCAAGCTTCCTGATCGGATGGTCCAAAGGTAGCGGTTCAATATCGAAGACGTCCAGGCCGGCGCCTGCGATGACCCGGCGTTGGAGAGCATCTATTAGCGCAGACTCGTCGACGAGTGGGCCTCGTGAAGTGTTGATAAAGAAAGAGGTAGGCTGCACGGGAAGTCATACGCGGTCAAATCATTTACTACGGACGGGATACCCTGGAGGTTCCATAATATCACTGACCTTCATGAGTGCAAAGTCATCCTTAGTGATCATGCCTCTGGAACGAGTCGACAGGACCATGTGTAGAGATACAATGTCGCTGGTTCGGAATACCTTCTCTTTGCTCTCTGCAAACTCGACACCTGCTGCCTCGGCACGTTCAGGGGTTAGATTGGGTGACCATCCAATTACCCTCATCCCGAAGGCTTTCGCAATCTGTAGGTTTAAGGAATGCATTCAATTTTGTGGCGCAAAGACACGAAGCGTAGGTATACCACTCACACGTGCAGTAGAAGAGCCCAGCCTTCCAACGCCTATGAGCCCCAGTGTCTTCCCCCACAAACCCATCGGAATCTTCGTCTGCCACGCTTCCCTCCCAGCCTTAACACCGGCATCCTCCTGTGGCACCCAACGCGCCACAGCCAATATCAAGGCCCATATTTGCTCCAACGTCGAGTCTCCAGTCGAACCCGTGCCGCAAACAACCACTCCATTCTCCCTTGCATGTGTGATATCTATCCCAGCGTTCTTCATTCCTGTCGTGGCTATGAGTTTGAGAGATGGCAGACGATCGAGGAGGGAAGCAGGGAACTTGGTTCGTTCGCGCATGGCGCAAATGATAGTATATGGTGAGAGACGATCAACTAGGGCGTCTTCAGAAAGGAGGGTGTCCGAGAAGCGGTCAACAGAGACGTCGGGACGAGACAGGATCGGAGACCAGTCCGCACAGTTGAGAGCGACGTTCTGATAATCGTCAAGGATAGCGACCTTTATAACGGACATGTTGTGCAAGTTCGTCGAGCTATCAGCGAGTTCAAGTGGTTGCATTCGGGATGGGCTTGCCAAACTGGAGGGGATAGGACAGAGCGACAGAGGCACTATATATCAGTTAGTGGGAAAGCCGGACATCCGTCCGCGGAACGACCTGAAGGATGTATAAATACCAATTGCGCCAGTGGAAGAGATGATGGTGTGGACTCTCTATTCATGGCTATGGGCAAGAATAGTCACATTGTACAGTAGCTGGTGACGGTCCAGCTTCCCTATTTACGCTCATGCTGAACGTTCAACGTTGAACGTCGACCAGAGTCTCTCCGGCTGCTAATTTTCGAGGCGTTCGGCGAATGCCGCATGTAAATTTAGCTCTTCATTTACATAACGCCACATTGTGGCCCAAGAAACAGCTCTGTTGTCAACGACGGTGGAAAAACAGAATAGATATGAATGAATACATTATACTACATGATGTGTCATTACACTAGACGAGGTGATCATAAAATAGGTCATACGGGGCACTGCTGGTCTACAATGATGGAACTGCAAGAGTTGGACTGGGTTTCGACATGGATGTGTATTGACTTTCGGCGAGGTTGATGGGTAGTAGAAGCCTCATTTAGGCTGAATTCCATTGGGGATATGTCGCCTGGATCACGGTATGGAAGAGAAATAATATCGGGGAGTCCTCTTCGGGAGCAGGCAAGGACGATAGTTATCGTTGGATAGATACCCTGACCGGTAAGCGATCACCGAATTAGTACTCCTTGAGTAGAAGGACACATAGGAGTACATACCGCAAGGTGAACTTGCGAGAAAGACATCATGCCCCAAAAGACCCCAAGCGCCGCTGGTCCGGAGTCGTTCACGATCAGAGAGGGATACCGAATACTGATGACGAGTATTATGACCCAGAGTGCCTATGAAACCTGAAGCGATGAGTTTCACCGGAGGTAACCATCAGAAATTTGGGCACCCAGATAATGCAGTACAGAGCGCCCGACTCCACAAGGATGATGAGCACCGCGATCGTTGTCCCATCACCTTGATGCGAGACTTTCTTGAGCAATCTTCTGTGCTTCCTGTTAGACGGTAAATCAATCAACCTACCAAGCGGAACGCAGGAGCGTGGAAACTACGAACCACACTGTCCACCCAATGAGGGCCGTAGGCCATATATTCGCACTCAACGTCAAGCAATAAGTCATGCCTATTAGGAACTGCCAACGCCAATCTCGAGCTCCGTCAGGTAAGTAGATAATATCACATATTGGCGAGCTCGCAGCGGCTATCATAAAAATGAGTTCCCCCACTAGAAGGTAGGAACACTGAGCGCGCGCTTTGGGTGAAGACAAAGAAACGGACGAACATAGTGTTATACAGCCCAACAAAATAACGCACCTTCTCGTCTTTGGCCCCGATATGAGGCAGGCCCTCCAAATGACTATCGCATCGTTCAGTATGTACTGGAGTAGCGTTAATCAGGGATCTATGTCCAAAGCGAGAAGTAAAAACGAAGAAAACCTGGGGACATACGTTGATCAGGGGTAAGAAGGTTGTGATCTCACCCCAACGGTCGAGTGGAGGATTATATGCCGAGCTCTGTTTCCGCTTCCAACTTGCGACCGTCATGCCGAACGTGGCGGATGCGACCCCGAACATTATGATGGTTAATATCAGCATGACTGCCCTCGGCTTTGACCTCACTCCCAGTCGACTAGGAAGGCGATGATCAATCTTGCAACGACGTGTAGTATCTTGTAACCTACCAGATGAGGTACGTCGACAGGAAAAATATGCTGACATAGGTCCCTAAAGGCAGAAACTCTAAATGGACATTGCGCGTTACGGTTACGACGACATAGAGCTTACCGTAGGCAAGGGTACCACATACCAGAGAATCGATGCTCTCGAGAAAGACTGAATAGGCATCGCGCATGCTGGCGTCCGCACACGAGGCCATGACGGTGTTCAGTCAGATCGAGTTTTGGGGAGGGGATGGAGCGTCAAGCATGACCAATTTTATACAAAGAAGGTCGTGTTCGCATCACAGATGCAATGCATGTCGTTTCCTCTCGGCCTCGGAGACAGCACATGGGCCATGATAGAGGAGAGAATCTGTTTGCGGGACACTTTAGATATAGGAATCCCCGGCCGCCTACAGCGTCATCGGACAAGTTTAGAACTTGAATCATTTCCTGGTAGAATGAAGGAGTATAAGACTTACCAAGGCCAGTATCGCTGTGTCAGCCACTCTCACGGAGAGTGATTGTGATCCATTGAGATGAGGTCATTGTCTGACATCTACTGCAACAGGTGGGATATTGTTCATGTCCATTTTTGCAGAGGCCGTAGTGGGCAAAGACTTGACATACACTTGCCCTCCGGGCGCCACCTGGTCCCTCCTATGGGTCGATTAGCAACCACTGCCTTCAGCTGTCCATTATATTCAAGTTGTATCTTCTGGCCAATTTGGCTTCACGGAATGAAGACGGCGGGCCAGTCTCGCGCCAGGGCTTCGCCCAGCCTCTTTGTGGCCCGCCTCTACGCGCGGGGGCTCCGCCCCGCGCGATGGTCTGCGATCTTCTTTGAAGAGCGTGATAAAAATTACTAGCCGCTAGTACTAACGACCCACTCTTCGAACAAGTGGTGGATGCCACGACCATCTTTCAGTGTTGTTTCAGTGGTGAGCTTGCGCTCGGCTTGAACTTCAGTGCTAATGCACTTGAGTACTGTAACACTCCCTGAATCTCGCCACAGCTGCAGGCCGCGAGGTGAGAGCACAGTGCCCACTTTTTTGCGTCCTTTACATGAAAGAATCTCGACATCCAGAATACGGCGCAGGGAGGCACTGCTACACCGCCGACCGTACCTGAGAAGGAAAAAACATGTGCGGCCTGATCCGGGTTGAGGGTTGAATCGACCTCAATCCGACCTCATTTCGACCATCAGGCGACTATCAGTCTCGAATGAGAGTCGCCCAATATGCGGGCTGATCGCTGATCTCGAACCGATCTCAGGTCCGGTGGGCGGTGTAGTGTAAGAGTCCTTCCCAATGGGGCAGGTCGACTGGAATCTCGTCGTTTGGGACATTCGATGCGTGGGAAGTAGGTCCTAATGGGGTAGGAGGGGGGTGTAGACGTCGTTAGGTCTTTCGCTCGCGTGGTGGTATGTCCCAATGGGGCAGGAGGGGGTTTTGAGCTCGTCAGGTATCCCAGAGCGTGGGAGGAGTTATCCTAATGTGGTTATTTAAATCATTGCAAGACCTGATCCCTGTAGGGACCAGGAATAGAAGAAAACGACTCGGAGGAAGACATGCTCAAGAAACAAAGTAAGTAGTCAAACACAGAAGGCGATGAGACGCAGAACACCAGTCAAGCCGTCAGAAGCTGTTTCGGTGGAAGATGATCAAGAATTCATGATCTGGTCGATGCAGATACGACGGTGAGCGGCCTGTGCACTGGTGGTTGGTGACAAGGAATGCCACGCATGCGGCGGCGAATGAGAGTGGAAGAAACGTATGCCGCCGGAGGAAACCGGATGTGAGTTCCTTTTGTGGCAAGTGGCGAGCCATGTGAACAACGGACGTTTGAACAGCCGTAAAAAAGGCGCACGATCATGAAACAGCCGTCGAGACACGAATCGTCTGGTCATTATATCTCTTACATACAACGTCAGCGTCAAAAGGCATAAAAACTCGCTATCGTAGCAATCGTGGCAGCGTCTGGTCGTAAATCATAATATAAATGCTGTCCGAGGGCGGGTGTGAGAATAGACGAAGAGAGGTAGTATCCAGTCCTCGCTGGTCATAACAGTCCAGTTCGCTTCTCGATACATCGTCCATGTGGCGATACACTCAACATGGAGCCTCACCCGCATCTTTTCCTCTCCCTAATAACTCCCCAAGTTTTACCGCTGCCGCCCCATTCTTCAACGTATCACCACCTCTCATCCTTTCCCTCTCCTCCTCTGCCAAAATACGGCTCGCAGCATTCCCTTTCACCGTCCTATCCCCATCCACCACCGACGGCCCTCTTGATTTTGCCACGGCACTGTTGACGTTCCTCCCCGGCCCAAGCACCAGCGAAAATCTCTTCGACCTTCCCTCACCCGTTGCATTTGGTCGAGTAGTCACAGGTGTCGTGTGTAGCGAGACTGCGGGCATCGAGAACCGCTTGTGCCGCCTGGCCGTATCCTCCCTCCTCGGGCCAGGTGTCGCGATATAATGACTCCTTGGCGATACGAGTTGACTTAGCGTAGGTTCGTGTGTGTGTGCCGAACTCGAAGGAGATGAGGAGAAAGTAGGCAAGGCTGGTGTAGATTGAGTGGGGTCCTTGAGGTCTTGCGACTGGAGAGGAAGGTCGACGTTGGAGGATGTAAGCAGGGATTGGGAGTCGTCAGTCGCTGTCGCGGTCGATGGGGAAGGATCAGCGTTATCTGTCTGGGAGTCATGGTCTTGGAAGTCTTCCAGAATTTGGTGGTACGATCTTGGTCGAGAGGAGGGTGCGCGTATCTTGATGACAGGCCGGGCAGGCATACCGCCACCGCTCGAATCAGAAGTTTGCCCGCCATCTGCACCTAATCCTTTACTGAGGTCAATCTCGCCATCAGGCGTATTCGCACCAGAAACGTCATGGATAGGGGACAACAGTCGACCCTTGTTACCAACCGGCGTAGGACTGAGATCAATGGCCATGAGTAAAGACGGAGGTCTTGAAGAAGCGGGTGTAGTGTACTGTGATTGCCAAGAGGGGAAGCTGTCGATGTCGACTTCATATGCGGGGTCGTTCGGAGGAAGAGAAAAGGGAGCGGAGGTGGAGGATTGCTGAGTTTCGTCGATGATGGGAAAGACGGTTTCGTAGCATGCGTCACATGCGCGTGCGGACTTCGAAGGGTGCTTGCCGTTCACGTCTGAAATGAAGAAAGTCTAGATGCAACGTTCGTAAGATTTCATGAAGAAAGGATGATACTAGATGTACTTACACTCCCAGAGCAGGAAGCACAAACTAATCGTCCACACAGCCTACAATGGTGTCTCCGTCTCCTCCATCCGAAATTCTTCGCACATCTCATACAGTTCTCTGTCTTCCCATCTGGTATCCAGATTGCTGGGACGAAGTGCTCGACTTTGCCCCGTTTCGGCTTAGTCCCACCCTCTTCAGGCAAGTGCGGAAGTGCTTGGAGAGTCTGGCGGAGGTGGGTTGTGGATGCAGAGGATGTGAGAGTTGAGTTCGGATGGGTCACGTTCAGTGAAACCAAAAGCGACGCCTTCGCGTTACGAATCGCCGTGGCCCACTCATCTCGCTCTTCTTCGCCGGCTGCGTTGGGTGAATATTTGCATGAGCATCCGTAAGCAATACCTCGATGAAGAATAAAACAACGAACCAGCGTAAACAGCGAATGAGGCCTCTGGACTCAACACATCAAACCTCATTTCTTCGCCGGGCTCTGCTCCTAAACCAGTGGCTGCTACCACAACCTCTACATCTACAAGCTCCAGTTTACCTTTGAACCACCATTTCTCATCCGCCGCCACAGAGCTCGCCTGCCTCTTATTCGGCCTGCTCGGACTACCTGAGAACCCATGTCGCGAGGGCGAGCGCGGGCCTGCACTGCGTAAAGGACCAGGGCCAGGTATGCTCTTGGTTCTATCACGTATGATCGAGAGCTCAGCCTCGCTGCGACTCCTGGAACGTGACATACTGGGTCGACCGCCAAACTTAAGTCTGGACACGTTTCCACCTCCACCAGCATCAGACCCGACGCCACCAAAGACGTGGTGATGCCCTGGAAGCCAGTCCCATCGCTCTGAAAGGTCGGTATCCGAGCGGTCGAGATTAGCGAGCCAGACGAGGCAGTCTGAGAAGAGGAGAAAGTCATGTTCCTTCGGGTGGGAAGAGTTCTCTAGTTGAAGTAGGGAACCTCGTTTGAGGAAGGTACGGCCCGGGACGATGAGCTGAAAGGGAAGGTTGGGAGCACTTCGTTGCAGTGCCAGGAGAGCTAGGGTCTGCGCGTGCGTGTGGAGGGACGTATTGAGAGATGAAGTTACTGAAACAAAAAAAAGTCAGCAAGTAATGACACTAGTGATATCCTCTGTGATTACTCACTCTTCGAAACCAGGGTATGCACGGCCATTAGTGACACACGCTCCGAATCCTCTGAATCAGTGCAACCAATCAAATCCTTCAGAAGAAGGAGATATCTTGGGCACCGTTGCACGATTGTCAGCAACCAATCCCTGAGTTTCAACTTCCCGCATCTCGGGTCCGTTTCTTGCTTTGCCACGAAAGCAGAAAATGCAGCATTTGAGGTCAAAAGTCCTGTCAGCGAGGCCACCGATGTATGAAAGGATGTGACGAATGGAGTATACAAAGATAGGTATGGGAAATGGCTCAAGAGGACTGGTGAGAGGGGCGGCGGTACACCTCCGTTGGAGGTAGATGCATGAAGGTGGTCGGTGAGGGAGGAGAAAAATGACCGATGGAGGTTCCAGATGTCGATAAAGTTAGAAAAGACGGATGTGAGTTCGGCACGACTGAGTAATGGGTGTGGTGTGTCTAATGACGCGATGACCGGGGTCAGGAAGTGCTGTGATAAGTGAAACATAGTGGTCAGTCCGCAAGATATCAATATCTGCACGAATTGAGTTATAATGATGAGAACTAGGGTCGGAAGAGGTCTACCCCCTTGGCTGCAATCAAGACACCAATGAATGTTTCTGAAGCGCAAATACACATCACAGTGTGGTGTCTTGCCAGAGCCATGCTTGAGAGTATATCTGTCGTTTTGAAGACCCTCAAAAAGGACAACAAATCGTCTCGCGACGGCTTTGGGACCTATGTGGTACTGGTAACACCGAGTGTGACATGCTTCGAAGAAGCGGTATGGCATGGCATGATACTGATCCCAGGGTCACCGAGGTGTGGCGCCAGCAGCAGTTTACTCCCTTCTCTGCGCGACTAACAGCCACTAGGAGAGAGTAACAGAGACAGAAGAGGGTGCTCACTGAATAAATAAGATCCAGTCCATCGACGTACGTCCGCTCGGTCTCATAGAACTCCTCAATGACCTTCTTCCGCTTCTCCTCCTTCGCCTCGTTAACAGGACGGAGTTCCCTCTTTCTGTATGCTCTACCCTTCGCGTCGACAGAGGAAGGTCGCGACTTCGACTGTTTCAAAGGACTCCGATTCGGGGGCATGAGAGTAGCACCTGGGGAGATACGGCCGTCCTCCGGGAGCGAATCGAATGAAGCAGTGCTGACGACGGAGATTCGGTGAATGAGCGAAGGAGCAGTAGGAAGCGATATTCTTCGGAACGGAAGATACGGAGGCCGAGGCTGCTGTAAATATGCAGAAGGGGGACCACCCGGCGACTCTGAGGTCGGGAAGTCGACCACAGACGGAGCAGGGGTAGACACTGTGGCGTATACCATTAAACAGAAAACTGAAAGTCAGACACAACTGGCGACGAACAATGATACAATGAATAGGAAACGGGACAGACCTGAACTGGACGACATCGTCAGCGTGAACGAAGGGAAGAGAACGTCGTCGTCGAGCAGACCACTGTCGCTGACAGCTCCTTCGACGCGACCCACAAGCACTACTCCGGTAATCCCATATCGGGCGCCCCGCGTGGCGCGGATCGGCTCGCGTGCCTGCAGGTCTTTCCGCTGTCCTTCCTCTTGCGCATTGACTTTCACCGATATCTCCATTTTACCCTCTGACAGCAGTATAGTACCCTCAAGATACTTTGACAACATCTTAGCTCCTCTTGTCCACAGCATGATTACATTCAGCCATAAGAGCTCATGCAGGTCATCGTCAGCCTCTGCTCGCCACACTTTGATCACGAGCTCGAAGGAAGGTTCCCGTTCGTTCCTCACTCCAATTCCTCGTCTCTTGCGTAGGCACGCAGGCTCATCGTTGACATCATCAGTATACGAGGTTGGCTGGTCCCTGTATCGGTGCGTCATCCAACTCATTGGTCACCCACTGGCGGAGTCGACGTTTGTGATGCTGCACTTCGGTGGTCCACGCCGAGTCACTGGCCCATGAGTAAAATCATTACAGCGCGATCTACCTTCCTTTTTGTATGGTATCAAATTTCTCTATTGGCGAACATGTCGAAATGGTATTCTTCCAGCGACTCTGCCCGTCACTTACTGTTCGATCAGGCCATCGATGCGGAGTCCGGAAGAGGAAGCTACGTTCATAGTATACATTGTTGTAGAGAAAAAGATGATGTGCATATATATACAAGTGGCGAGAAGACACGAAAGCGACGAACAGAGCTGTACTAAGTAAAGTATAAAACACGGAATCAAAACCTTGGTCCGCCCATTCTAGAATCTACGCCAGCCATCCTACACCCACGAACCCCACATGCGTCGCACAGGCCCGGCGACGCTCGAGATGAAGCCATACATGCATGTACTACGAATAGCTATGTCGTACTATGAGTATGGGAGCGCAGTGAATCGTAAGTTCAGGTCAGGTCTCGGAAGGGAGCCTAAGTAAGAAGAAACTCGACGACGCGCTGCTGCGTTACAAGCCTGGCAGTCTTTGACCAAATGGTAAGGAAATGCCGATCATGGTGGGGTGAGAGGGATTGGGACGTGCTGAAAATGATACTAGGGTGATCGGGTAGGGAAATGTGAAAAGAAAAATGGAAAGCATATGCATAGCAATTGGATAGTGTGAATATATGTTCGTTGAGGGAGAATTGAGAGCGAGAGCGCGCATTATAAACAGAGAAGCAGAAAATGAGACATCCACAGAGTCGTTACCCTCGGCTGTCATAGACGGACTTTCGACAACCCTATAACTCGTGCATTAGGAGGACTGATGCTGGAAGCGAAAGAAGGCGACGTATGAGGCCAGGCTGAGGACGACCGTGTTGTGATAGGTGTATGAGCCGATGAGACCCGGCTGATGACGATGGCGGGGCGGAGTACGAAGGAGAAGGTATGGGAGAGATGAACCCGAGCATGGATCGTGGATGTTCTACGGCAGTGGTAGCGCCAGACCGGAGTTCGAGTTGGAAGAGACGGCGATGATAAGCGGAGGAACTTAAGCGGGGAAAGTGGTTGCCTTTTGTTTCCCGGCTCTCTTTTCCGACATGGCGGCGAATCCTTCCCCAACGGTCTGCGCAGCCAAGGCAGCAGGCCTAACTTCCGCACTTGGTCCCGCCTGTGGTACGGAAGGCAAGATTGTCGACATCCTCTTGGCCTTCTGGCGCTGTTTCTTCAATAATTTCTTGAGCTTTTGAACGTCCTGGTTCGTAGCGCCATCGGTCGGTGCGGAGTCTTGTTGGGCAGAGGAAGGTGCAGACTTGTCGTCATCAGAGGGTTCAGAGTGAGAAAGACCGAACGAAGATGGTTCGAGAGAGGTGGGTTCCGTTGGTGGTAACCCAGCGCCTGTATCGCACTCTAGAGTGACGGAGTTTGGGGCGTTCGTCAATCCGTGATATAGCCAAAGCAATGTTGACATCGACTCACCTTTTTCCGTTCCATCAATTAGTACGTTCGAGCCGCTGGCACAGGCATTGCCGTTGACGTGGTTAACAGATCCTGTTAAGGATGCTACGAAAGATCAGTATGATAGGAAGCGGACAAAGCGAAGAAAACCTTACTGGTAGTGTTGTTCGACAAGGCAGGGGTGACCAGCCGTTCTTGCTCCACGTTGCGATCGACTGTGGGTGCCCTACTCTCACTAGCACCATCGGCATGCACAGATGACGAACCTGAAGGGTTAGCAGCGTCTGCGTCTTGCTTCCCGGAAGCCTTCTTCCAACAGTCCATGAACGCCGAATTAGGGTACCTCTCAACATGTTCTTTGATCTGCGCAGCGAAACGAGCAGCGTCAATCTCCTCCTGACTTAGTACCGGTGCCACGGGACATGGGGGTAAGTTTTTGCCCTTCTCAGCAAGCGCCCTCTTCGGTAATTTGCGGATTTGCCTGGTTTCGCCGGGTTCCTTTGACTCTTCTTGAACGTTCTGATTTGTATTGACGTCGGTTGGCGAAGAGCCTGGCTGGGCAGATGAAGGTGCGGCTTTGTCGTCGTTCTGCAGTGACGTCTCGCCAGTTCTGTCGTGAGCTTGAGGAGAGCCGGTTGGTTGATCATCTAAAATGTACAGGTATACGGTTGAGGATGCATGGACGGAAAATAATCGGGTTAGACCTTACCTGAGCTTGATTTCGTGTCAGAGACACTTGTAGACGAGGTGACGGGCGGGGGCGAATCAGCGGTCTTTTGCTCTTCGCTTCTAGTCATGGGCAGGGAGGTCTCCGGCGCACCTCCCTCACTCACGTGAGTAGTGTTCGCACCGTCATCAGATGGCCCAAAGCGAGAAAGACTGGACGTAGATGGGACAAGAGAGGCGGGTTCCGTGGTTGTAGCATGTGCTAGAGGTTTAGAGTTTGGTGCGTTCGTCAATTATTGAGATAGACAAAGATATGATGACATTTACTCACCTTCCTCCCTTCCATCAAGCATGTTAGAGCCGTTGGCACAGGCATCGCCGTCGACCGGGTTCACAGGTTCTGTCAAGGATGTTCCAAAATATCAATATGAGAGGAAGCACAGACAAGCGGAAGAGAACCCTACTGATAGTGTGGTTCAGCGAGGCAGGGGTGTCCGGCCGTTCTGTTCTTGGTTCCTGCGGTCGCATGGGATATGGGAGTGACCCTAGGTGCTTGGCCCTGTCCGCTAGGGCCTTAGCGATGTCTATCAGGTTCTCGGACTCCTCCACTAGCTCCTCGAGACTATCAAGCGGCCTCTTCTTCAATGCGATGATGAGCTCGGGATTTTTTGACTCTTCTTGAACGTTCTGACTTGTACCGACATCGGTTGGTAGCAGAGAGTCTTGCTGGGCAGATGGAGGTGCAGAAATGTCGTCGTCCTGCAGTGACCTCGTATTCCTCTCCGACTGGTCCTTGGTCTCCTGCGCACCTCCCTCAGTGACTTGAGCGCTGTTCGTGTCGTCATTAGAAGGTTCAGAGTGTGAAAGACCAGACGAAGATGGTTCAAGAGGGGTGGGTTCCGTTGGTGGTATTACGTTCGAGCCGCTGGCACAGGCATCACCGTTGACGTGGTTAACAGATCCTGTTAAGGATGTCGCAAAAAATCAGTATGATAGGAAGCGGACAAAGTGAAGAAACCCCTACTGGTAGTGTCGTTCGACGAGGCAGGGGTAGTTGGCCGTTCTTGTTCCACGTTGGGGTCGACTGTGGATGCCCTACTCTCACTAGCACCATCGGCATGCACAGATGACGAACCTGAAGGGTTAGCAGCGTCTGCGTCTTGCTTCCCGGAAGCCTTCTTCCAACAGTCCATGAACGCCGAATTAGGGTACCTCTCAACATGTTCTTTGATCTGCGCAGCGAAACGAGCAGCGTCAATCTCCTCCTGACTTAGTACCGGTGCCACGGGACATGGGGGTAAGTTTTTGCCCTTCTCAGCAAGCGCCCTCTTCGGTAATTTACGGAGTTGCCTGGGCTCGCCGGGTTCCTTTGACACTTCTTGGACGTCCTGATTCGTACCGACATCGGTTGGTGAATAGCCTGGCTGGGCAGATGAAGGTGCGGCTTTGTCGTTGTTCTGCAGTGACGTCTCGCCAGTTCTGTCGTGAGCTTGAGGAGAGCCGGACGGTTGATCATCTAAGATGTACGGAATACAGTTGAGGATGCATGGACGGAAAATGACCGGATTAAACCTTACCTGGGCCTGGTTTCGGGTCAGAGACACTTGTAGAAGAGGTAACGGGCGCTGGATAATCAACGGTCTTCTCTTGCTCTTCGCTTCTAGTCAAAGGCACGGAGGTCTCCGGCGCGTCTCCCGCATTGACGTGAACAGTATTCGCACCGTCGTCAGAGGGTTCAAGGTGAGACGTAGATGGTTCAAGAGAGATGGGCTCCGTCGGTAGTATCACCGTAGTCGTATCATGCTCTAGAGTGTTACAGTTTGTGGTGTTCATAAATCTGGACATAAGTAGCAAGAATAACAACGAGATCGACTCACTTTTCTCTCTTCCATTGACCGTTGTCGGCACATCGGAATCATCGCGTGAGGAGCCCGCGCCCGTCCTGATGCTGGTTTCCGAAGCGATTTCCGATACCACCGCTTTCCCTTCAGGGACGGAAGGGTGGATTGCCAAAGTCTCCTGAGCCTTAGCGTCGGGAAGCCTTGAAGACGAAGGCGCGCGATCATCTTGACTGAAACTGGGGTCAACAGTGTCCAATTGTTCTGCCTTCGAAGCGACGTGCGAGACATTGGCCGGGGAAGGTAGCTCATGATCCCTCGAGAGAACGCCCACGTCCTTAAGACCGTCGATCGCGTTGGCGCCATTGGCACAGGCGTCGGCGTTGACAAGGTTCACAGATTCTGTTGAGGATGTTCCGAAAATGAGTATGACAGGAAGCAGAGACAAAGCGAAGACATTTTCCTACCGGTAGTTTCGTTCGACGAGGCAGGGGTGGTTGGCCGTTCTTTCTCCGCTTTGTGGTCAACTGTGGTCGCTCGATTTTCACTGGCACCGTTGTCTTTGATTGGTTTGGGCCACATCAGATGAATATCAGGGTATAATTGATGAATTACAACATACCATCGAGGACTTCTGCAAGCATAGACTCGGAAGGGGCAGAGATGAAATCCGTGTTTTCCTGGCCATTTGTGTTCGTCGAAGAAACAGCAGTAACTGGGGGAGGGACCTGGACGTGAGAGGCGGAAGGCAGAGCTTGTAGGGCATGCGACGGTTCCGTCTCTGCGTTTCCAGCATGGATATAAATTAGCGCCACATTTCGCATAGTGTTCACCAGGAACAAATCACTTGCCTTTCTTGACAGAGCCCTCCGACCTGACCTGAACTAGTAACCGACGCGGTTTTGGGCCCGGGCGAGACGTAGGTTTTTTACGACTCAGATCTGGTTGCCCAACGATTTGCTGTCTTGTCAGGATGCTATCCTTTCCTTCTACAATGTCAGTGACACGTATAGCGAGTTTTAAAGTGAATAAGATGGTGATAATAGTTTATCAGTGCCAGTGTATAGGGTTGAAGTTGATGCAACGTACTCGTATGAGATTTCGTTTCAGCACGAGCTCTACATCCGTCTTTGCGCTCAGTCCGTGCCGTCAGGCCGCGCTCCCGTGACGAATCCGTATGCGGGATTAGGTTTCCCTCGGAGACCTTCCAATTGAAAGGTATCTGCGTTGCATTGTCATTGTACACTGCGGCAGGCATCTCGGTGAGACCGTCAGATCCGACTGAAGTCGACGTATATGTCTATAGGTGCAAGGGCATCAAAACCCGTTGGGGCCGCTGCGAAACGACAAATCGCGCACCTTTTGTAGCCTTTCCTGCTCGACAAGTTCACTCCTGATAATACGGCCTCCCACAATTACCTTCGCAGCGACATGGTAAACGGTGAAGGCTCCAGCGATGAGCTACACGTGCACCACCGCGAAATTGAAGTCGAAGGGGATTAATTAATGCGGTGCGGAAATAGGCAAGGGGGTTTCGGAACACGTACCATGAAGAATACCATGGCCACAGTGCACAATAAAACCGCATATCTTGCAACCATCGGATCCCAACCGTACGGCGAATCGGAGGGAGAAGCCCAGGAAGGGGTATTCCACTGGTCAAAAGGAGAGGAAGACGTAGCAGAGAACGGGAACGTGTTGTACGGATTCGAGGTGATAGGCAATGACTCGATATACTGGACCTTGTAGACGGTGACTGTTGGTTGCGGGGTCCAATCCACGGGTGGCGAGGGTGGCGGGGCCATGGGAGACGCGTTCAGAGTTGGAGTCAAGAGATGTCTTCGGACAGCAGGGGGCAGACCAGAGAAAAGCCATTGGAGCGATGATTTTGCGCCAGTGACGATCGTACATGCGACGATGAAAGCGGTGATCAGCTCCGATGGAACAAAGTGTATGACGATGGGGTTCAACATGGTGAACAGAATACACGAGGTCGCAGCAGCGACCTGAGATAGAGTTGTGTGACAATCAAAAGCTGGAGGTGCGTCTGGTAGGATGGTGGTGGTCGAAAGGAAAGAGAACAACAGAAAGGACAGCCTTTATATATGCGACACCCCGGGCACGTGGAAGAAGGCCACGCCACACCCGCGCTATCCTGTTTTATCCACAAAGGAAGGACACACCAATCCAGGTGCCGAGGCCCGCTTATTTCTTCTGCCGTATCGGTTACGCAACGCTTATGTTGCCCCAGATATTGTTATCTTCCTATCAATCATTATCTTCTGGCTTCTCGTGCTCTGACTCGCATTAGGAACAAGAGCAAGGGCCCAAGCGATTCACCTTTCAAAAGCGACCTCAAGGGGTAGAAAGCAAGAACCCCCATGTCCAATGTCAGCAGCATCAGCAAAACTTGGCTCATACAGTACTTTTAAGCCGCGGAAAAGAACACATCCTTCACGAGAAAAATGCCTGAGAGAAGGGATTGCCCTCGAACAAGCGCCGCAGGAACGTGATATCAGAGGACGCAGCACAGAAGAGCACAGATCGGGCTGGAGGGACGAGGAGCGCGTGTGAACGCTTCGATTTGCTATCATGCGACCATCATATCTAACCAATAGCGAAACTTTCCGAACACAAGAGAGAAAAGCCACCTGAAGAGACAAAAGACGGAGGAGATTGCAAATGGTCCGCACAGTTGGCGCGTTGCGAGAACAATGGAGGGACTCGAAGGGAAGGGCCGAAGCGGCGGAAGATGCCGTGGTCGAATTGTAACGGTGTCAGAAAGTGGCGTGTGGCGTGGGGGACGTGCGATCTTTTGGCACTCTCCCTCGCGCCTCCTATCTCGATGTTTTCTGTTTTACATATTAGATCTGAAGTTTTCTGCGTGTGACTCCTACTCCTTCCCAAGGGCAGTTATGAAGATCGGTTGTCAGTCCAGGGTACTTATTGCATGACTCTCATCAAGGAGCCACTTAGTATTCAGACGCATAGTATACTATGACGTATCACCGCGGCCCATGAGACGGATAGTTATTCGTGAGGAGAGGACACAGCATCGAAAGCACAGTTACAATTAAGAAAGTCGATAGGGCATAGTACACGGCAGTACACGGCCCTGAGCTGACAAATACCCCTCCAAATTACTATTTAGTGTGGTACAGCAATTACCCTCAAAGGAAGTACACCCCCCTTTCCCTCCACAACAGGCTGCAACGAAGGCGACCACACCTGTTGAATCTCCACCCCTGTATCGTGCAGCTCAAAAGATCGTATGATCATAGCCGTCATTATCTTCAACTCAAGCAATGCTATCATGAATCACGACGTCGTCAGGAGAGAGAGAAACACAGTGGCCGAGACTCGAGAGACATACCCAGTCGATAGCCAATACAGCTGCGCGGTCCATCCAAGAAGGAGATGATATTACCCCAAGGGCCGTGAGGAAGTTCGCTAGCTGGAGGAAGACTTCCGTCTGACCAGCGTTCTGGCCTGAACTCTTCTGGATGCGGTCCCCAGACTTCTTCACGGAGTTGCATCGTAAGGAACGGGACATGAATGACCTATCCAAGAAGAAATATGAAGCATGGTGTTGTGAATAAGACAATACGGGGAAGATGTGATGATATAGCGTACCTGACCAACTTTGATATGTAGCGAAGTCAAAGTGCGCCCATCAAGGGTTTTCACGGGTTTGCTCAGAGGAATAACGTCGTCTTCGAGGGCGAGGCGATCTGTGCGGGGAACGGCGCTGTGTAGTCGAAGTCTACACCTAGATGAGTGATTGACCACAGAGAAGCGCTTAATGAAACCGTGGTGGGACTGACCCTTCCCTGATCACGGCGTCGAGGTATTCTACTTTTTGGACGCTGGCGGCATTGAAATTGGGACCAAGAGCAAGGAGTTCTTCACGGAGTTTTCTTTGGATCAATTTGTCACGGGCCAATCGCATGAGCGTGAAGTTTAGTGTGGCTGTCTGTCCAAGGGTACCTATAAGCACAACGAACACCCGGCGAAAAAATAGCTAACCGTTGTCTCGTGCCCTGCCATGCTATGTCGTAACAGGATGAGTATCAAAACGTCAAGGTAGAAGGGGAGAACGCACATGAAAGTTGAAATATTATCCAGTAACTGCTCATCCGCCATATGTTCACCAGCGCCTTTCACCAACAACGAGAGAATATCTTTGCCCTTCTCGTCAATATCTCCCTTCTGTAGGATCTTCGCTGCTAGATCCCTGGTGATGGACTTCGTGACACCTTCCTCCAGAAGGCCAGGGATCGGTAGCCTGGTAATCCAAGGGAACGACTGTATGATCATGGGTGCGAGTGCGCCGGTAGTTGTGAGTCCGAGTTGCACATCCTTGTTCCACGCAGCGGCGATAGCTTTGGCCTCGGCACTCTGGCCAGATCCGAAGTCGTGGCCGAACGCGACTCGACCGATGATGTCCAAGCTGTATGTATACCAACAGGATCGCAATTAGAACTAATCAATTGATCCAAACGGTTATAGACCTACGTGCAAGCCGAGGTGTAGGGAACGATGTTAAAGGTTCCGGGAGCGGCCTTGAGCAACCTCTCCTCCATCTATAAGCACAATACATTCACTCATCTTGAATCGGGGCAGGCAGGGCATGAACGATACGCACCCTTTCTGTACACGCCCAGACACCATTCTCCATACCTCGAATGCTTTCGGTGCTACAAACGATAACCCAAAGCATTTCAGTGACAGATTCAGATGGCGGCGGTGGTGGCACCATTCGCAAGTCTCATAACTCGATCTTAGACGCACCTGAAGGCTGGGGACAGTATTCGACGCTGACGCTTGTGTTCCGCTCCTTCAGCCCATAAAAGACCTCTCCCGACCAATTTCTCGATGATAGGCCTTCGAAGAACGATGTCAGGACAAGGATTTACTCTGAAATTAGATAATTGGGGTGTATACCTATAAACTGGGGCCTTCACTGGATCAAATCCTTGAACGTTGTGCACCATACCAAGGGCAGTCGATGTGGCGATAAAGAAACGCACCATATTTGTCGGAATGCTGGAAGATGTACTGGGCCGCAGTATGGTCTGCACAGACCAGCTAAAGAAGCGTACTCTCAGTCACAACAGGTCGCTTCATCTGGCATTCGATGGATGAGGCGCGCACCTGCTTTCCATGAAAAAGTGCCGAATCCAGAGTGTAGACCGGACCAAGTGACTTCATCCACTTCGTCGTCAACACGTTTGCCTCAGCGATGGCAATAGCCTTTTCATGGCCCCAGATCCAACTGGACTCGCACGCAGGCTAAAAAGAAAATGGGGCGTAAGGATGGAAACAAGCAATATAGGCTATGTGAGAAACGCACAGCGGACGGGAGGAAGTCTACATCTGACCCGGACTTCGAGCGCAATACTTTCGCCACAAGAACCGCAGAAAAGCCGAATCCAAATGAGACCAGGAGGATCTCTACAGTCGAAAGAGCGGGCATATTGAGAGAAGGAACGGTCCAAGCCCAGGAGACTCAAAAGATGGTGGCAGTTGAGGAGACAGAGAGGGCAGAGAAGGTCAGGGTGCGGTCTCCAGTCGGCGAGACTTTTTTTATGCCATGTCCTTTCGTACGGTTGTCGGACGACCATGACAGGCAGTTCGCGAGTCGCAGGGCAACGAGTGATGGGATTGATTGATTGAATTCAGTAGCAGGAAAGCCGTGTTGCGGCTCACTTTATCCATAGATAGCCTGTCTCTGCCATGACCTCCCGTAATGAAAGCAAAGAGATAGATACTGCGAGCGCCAATGTATGTGAATGTCGAGAAGTCCAGCCGAAGGGCCACCCGAAGCAGAAAATAGCTCGAGAAGACCGTGACCTGGGGGCCTGAGAAAGAGGAAGTCGAAGTTATCTGCTTTCAAGTCTCCCACTGGAAATATTCCCATATTCCCGGGAGACGACATCGGCGATATCCCACTGGGAAAGAAAAGAGCGGTGTCCTATTCGTACCGGTTCCTAAGTGGCTCGGGGATCATTATACTCACACTGTAAACAGACGTTAATTATCGTAGAGGAAGGAAGAATCAGCAACGCCTGTCAATGACTCGATGTGGCGTGTGACCCGGGAGCATGGCGGCGGGCTAAATCGAAACCCCGGCCTGTGTCCGATGCGCTCATCGAATAAATTGGGTGATAAACAGTTTCAAACGACCCTTTAACAAGCAGTAACACGAACATCATAGCATAGTCGAGCATGACAATAGTGTGGGGTTTTATTCGGAAGTACGACAGTACAAGTATAGTTCCGCATTTGTTCCGCATAGGAAGCCCTCTCGGCCACTGCAACAAGAAAATGATAACAAATCACGACACGAAGACAAGAAGGACAAAGAGGCAAAATCTACAATGAAAGAAACGACACAAGCAGATGATCAACCAAACAGCATAAAAGTGCGAAAATAGGTACTCCCCCAACGTCAAACAGATGAGATCCTCCGCATCCGGAATCCACTAGTGGTACCCTGAGATCGATGCAGTACCGGCCACTCCAAAGAACAATTGTACGGTATCTAAGACAAGACGAAGAGACAATTGAATAGACAACTGTGGCCCAACCTTCTTCAGGGGTCTAAACCTTATGCCGTACGCATCAGGAGTAGCTGCTGGTAGGGCTTTTACATTCCGGCGTGTTAAATTCTGCACTGATTGCCTGAGCCTCCAGGTCAATGTCCTCCGATCCTGGAGTGACGACTCTCCCAGCAGGGTCGTATGCCGTCCTCATAGTTGAAGGCGTCTGGGGCTCAATGTCACTCATCTGTTCAAGCCATAATGGTGAACGTTAGTATATGATGGACAACCTTCAAGTACTATAACTCTAGCAGAACAGCTGGAGAGCATGTGGAAGGCAAAAGAAAGTGGAGGTCTGACCTGGAAGCGATCCCCTTGGTCCTTGCTAGGGGCGAATGAAGCGGGGTCTGTATATGGCCTGGTAGTCAAACGCACGCTGTTCGAAGTGGGCCTGAGAACGAGAGACATGGATAAGCAAGAGTGCAGTGCACAAGGGGTCAAAAAGAGGAAGTATCAACGTACGAAAAAACCTCGTTACTCTGATCCGAGAAACCACGGTTCGTCAAACGGCGAACAACACGGCAAGCAGCAATCTGGACATTCCGAACTCAGAGTAAGGAATCGATGAGCGATTGATGAAGTAGATAGGACGTTACCGTGCAGATCTAGGTGAAGAGGCATCATCAGTGTGGTGGCAATTTCGATCATGAGAGTGAAACTGACCACGACAGCTGGTACATCAGCAATAACACCCATCACAGCATTGAGGTTGAGCATCATGAAGATCTACATAACCGCCATCAGTCAAAAAACGACACCAGATTGCTCTGGTATAGGTCTACGTACCACGGCAATGGTGTTCGCGGTGAATCTGCGGAATCCAGATACATCAGCACACTATTTACGTCTAACGTCTGACGCAGACTCACGAAATCGCAAAATACAGTAGTCCATCCTGGACCAGCATCACGACGAGCGGTGTCTTGGACGCACCGCTGGTGGCAAGCTTGAAAACGGTCAAGCCCATGACGATGAAATCGAGCGACATCCCGTAGATGTAGATCGTCCTCAGGATCACGATTTGTGAGTTTACGATAGTGCAACCGGCGCCGGGTGCCCATATGTCTCTTACACCAATGACGCCGCGGAGGAGAATCCCAGCGTATACTACAAGCGCAACGGAGAGAGGGATCACAATGTAGAGCGAGCGGCCCCAGACAGCTATGCTGAGTCAAGAGGAAGGTGAGTTAGTAAAGACCATGACGAACCAATAAGAGCGGAGGAGCATACGTTCGGATGGATAGGTTGGTGGCTGACATGGCGATGGCAAGATTTCCGAACGTCTGACTGAAAATAAACAGCCCTTGACAGTTTATCTCGCTGGAGGTAGGTTGAAAATATTAACTCAGGGCGCAAGCTAACATGGTTGCAATACCAGACTTACGAAGTGACATTCAGCCCAATGACCCTGCGAACGTGTGGTGAGTAAAGTCAACAGAATCACTAAGGGACTAAATGACATACACGCCGACGAGAGCTATTAACATTGAATAGCGACCAAGAAAATAAAACGCCTGGATACATATGGGTGAGGCGAACACGACGGTTGGGTTGTGAGTTCGACTAACCAGAGGCCATTGGAATCGTCGGCGTCTCAGCAAGTACGCAAGGTCGAAGTCGAGGCTGACTAGCCATTCCCATCTGTTCAACTTAATCAGCCTGATTCTGCATCAAAGGGGGAAAGTGAACAATACATGTAGAGACCGAGAAGTGCATGGATCAGTTTGGTGAACGCGCCTGAAGAAAAGAGAGAGCTGTAAGCCCATTTAATGGATTGTTAGTCGTCAAATGTTACCTCCGTCGAGGACGAGCTCTGCGGAGGATGTCCAGTCTACCATCTCGTCCTGAGGGTATAAGAAGCACGGTCGGCGTAAGAGACGTGGGGGTGGGTAGGAAGAATGGCGAGGACAGGAAGATATCTGGGACAGTATTATGAAGGCATGAGCTCGATCCTCGGACAAGGACCGGCGGAGAAAGGGTGATTTTCAGTAAAGTAGTCAAGCATCGAGCCACCTTCTATTTCGGTCGCACCCTTGTCAACGAGGCTAGCGAACAGCGGCGCATCCCGCTCATCTTCACACACATCCATGCACTCCGCTCCCGTTCTCGTCAGGCCACGTGTGACCGTGCCAGAAAAAGTCTTGCGTGAGAGGTCTCTAGGGTCCATGTCCACATCGAGCCAGTCTTTTCCCTCCAGATGCCAGCACCAGACGTTGTCGGCAGTCAGATGGTCTTAGATAGTAACTTGGAGGGACACCGAGGTCTATTGTTGTTCGGCCAACCCTGCATTGGATCAACACCAGTGTCACCGGGTCTATATTTCACCTGTCCCCTACGGAGTTGGAAGCAAGGTGAGCAAGTTCAACGGCGGAAAAGACTCGAACCAGCGAAATGATCTGCGCCGAGCCTTGTGGGGATGAATGGAGCTAGATCCTGAAGAGATCTGGGAAAGATCAAAAACAGAACGACACTTTGCATGTTTAGCAGAAAGAGACGACACAGCAAGAGCAGAGTGCCACCTAGTGCCACACTGGTCAGCCCACTGCGTGATGCTTCCGGTCGTAGCAACTAGCAAGTTGTTCGCGTTCTGTCAAACAGACGTTGAACATTCAACGTTCAACGGCCTACCGCGCAACGACCGAGCTAACATTCAAGTTCCATGCATCCTGTCTCCTCGGCCCTCGTCGCATCGTCAAAACTCCATTCGTCGCAACCGGGACCGAACTTCGGTGACGCGAGTGGCGCGTTGTGGCAACCACGATATAAACGCTGTCCGATTGTGACGAATTGCTATGGTCGCCGTGTTCATAACCACACAGCTCGACGAGCAGGCGGGAGAGACGAGTGAGTGAAACGAATGATCCCGCCCGCTACTGCACGGTCCTGCAACGTCAAGCTTGCGATCGAAGGGATGATGTTGGGAGGGAAACTCTGCGCAAGACTACCATGAATTAGTATCATCTTGGGGAACCCACTGAGCTTTTGCATCCAAATCCATAGATCAATGGAAGATAGTTGGTCCTTGGTATAAAAAATCCACCTGTCCGTAAAATGAAATAAAAGAAAAGAAAAAAAAGTTTAGCGCCCTCAAGTCACTCTCCCATTCACCGACACACTCGGTGCAATCCTCGCCAGCGGCACGTCGTCCTGCTCACTCTCGCTGTCGCTCGGAGGCTCCGGCTCATACACATTATACCTCCCCGCCTCTTCCCCCCTACTCTCAATATACCTCCTCAAGATCTCCTCCCTGTCCACTGGCCGGACCTCGTACCCCTCCGATCCCCTTCTCGCCCTAACCATCCCGCCCATCCGCCCATATCCATACTCGTCGTCGTCGTCGCGCTCCTCGCCTGAAGACGGGAGCGAGTCATGGTCCATTGCTCCACCTTGGTCTTGCTCCCCGTCTCGATAGTCTGGATGCCATGGTGGAACGGAGGATCCAGCTGCGGCGCGGCGCTGTTTAGATTTTGCGGAGGCTGTGGTACGAAGTTCGGAGTTGGAAGGATGGAGGGAGGGGTTGAGAGAGTCATTTTCGTACGTCCAGGGTGAATCGGGGAGAGTGAATTGATGATTGGCGGTGCTCGGGTCTCGCGGCGGCCACGCCTCCTGGTGTTCGATCCCTATCAGACGTGGAAAACAAACGCCAGTCAGTTTCCTTGGTATAATCTCAAGAAACAGCAACGAATGGGCGGAAGAAAGTAGAATCGAAGATCTTGAAAAAGCGTGAGTGCTCTATGGGCGAACGAGCAAGATCAATGCCCACCTTATGAGCACTACACGAACTCGTCATCGTCTTCTCGGCGATACCATTGCTCCTTATAATCTGGACGCTGCAGTTCTATCCACTTACCATCGCCCTCAGCAAGTTGATATTTAAGTCCTGTTCCGGGTGTCCTGGTGGGCCAACACCAGAGCCACGGGTTGGGGCCAAGGATGGATTCGATGTTTCGTCGTTTTCCAAGGTTCTGTCATGGGTAAACACTGTCACGAAGGCGACGCGAACCCATGCAGATTTGGACATACATATGGGAATTTGATCTGCGAGGCCAGTCAGTACGGGCAACACGGCGCCGGTGAAAGAGGATAGAGAACGTACATCTCTGATTTTGCCGCGCCTGACGAGTGTGGCGACTTTGTCCTTCTCCCAGCCTTCGATTGTGGTAGAGTTTCCCAGCAAACAGTAGAAATGATACAGGCTGGATCAACCACACCATCAGCCAATTGAGTTTAGAGAACAAAGGCAGGCCAGATAAAACTCACCTGAAGCCTCCAACCATAAGCAGCACAGGAATACAAGCCACATAATTGAGGATAATAAAGACGAGCTCAACCCCTTCTGGCACATCCTGTCCATCGACCGAAAGCATCAAAAGACCATGACGAGTGTGGCGTCAAGGCGAAGCGTACCCAAATCCGGGAGTGCATAGCATGAGTAACGCGCCGAGTGACCATGGCAAGATGATAGGAACAAGCGAGATCCACGAAGAAGAGGAAACGGATGAAGTGGCCATAGTTGAAGTGGCCGACACAGTTGTCGACCCAGGGACAGTGATGGTCTGCGCGCCACACTCCTTTAGCAAACGAACTGCGACAATTATGAGCAAAATAAACTGACCCATACGAAGCACACATCTTGTACGCATACGTGAGCCAATTGACGAGAAGGACATCACAGTTTTTCGTGGGCCACTCACCGTTTACATGATTTACAGTGGTGAGAACGAGGGGGTTTGTACTGTTCGCATGTTCGACAGTATCTTGGTCCTCCGGTAAGCTTCTTGACTTCGTAGCCCTCCATGGAAGCGGTGTCGGGTTGCTATCAATAGATTATCAGCCCATGAAACATCTAGAGATTTGATTAAACCATACCCATCCATCTGGGACGCGTCCTGGGTCGGTCACGACGCATAGACGGTAGTTCCAGAGTAGCATGGCGACAAGTAAACTGTTCAATAGGGATCATCAGAGTGTAAACATGATGGAGATGCTGATCCAACGCACTTGAATGGAACCAGGAGGGTTAAAAGTTCAATGGATACGACACGACCGTACCACGGCCATATTACAAAGATCTGAGAGGAATACGCTATGAAGCAGATGAGGGAGGAAGTGAGGCCGACGACAATACGCCCCAATAAGCGTCCCATATAGATAATGTATAGTTTGGATACTCCAGCGTCCTAGTCGTCGCCGACTTTTATACCAGTCGTGGTGGATGCACAGTGCAGAAAGGTGAGCATCAATGCGGTGCCACACTGCGCGTCCAACGTTGCGGGCACGGCGGCTTCGGCAAACGCGGGTCGCGTAAATTACATCCAGCGGCTTGTCCCTGCTCACCACCAGCGACATCATGCTCGTCCTTCGCCACTCGCAAAACCAACTTGCCCGCCGGTGCACCCTGCGCTCGCTGTCCACAACAGCGCCGAGGCTCGAACAGAGCACAGACGCCGAGCCTTCAACACAGGCTGAACCGAGCGAGGCCCCGAAATCCTCTCTTTCTGCTCGTCTGGCTGCGAGCAGCTTTGCTGGTGTCCCTATCTGTGCGTGTCGCTCGTGGCCTGCTCTCGAGGCCAGTTACTAATACCAAGTCTGTCTACTTGTCACATCAGACAACGCCCCTAAGTTTGTTTTCCAATCGGCCCGCTCTCGGTCACCTAATAACTCTGACTACTCTAGTGCGTATACTGCTGCATCCCTTACTTTAACGCTAGTTGACTGAGACTCGATCTTACAGACAAATCGTCCAACCAAAATGCAGGCTCCAGAAGGTTCAATCTGGTCGATAAGACTCCTCAACGAACGCCCACACCTGCTACCTTCGGTTGGACGGACGGTGTTGTCCAATCGTCCCTCAGTGATCGTCTCTGGCGGAGGCAGCAACAAATGCCACACACACCCGAACCATCACCCCCCTCGTCATCCTCCTTCCTCGACTCTGTAACGAAAGGAGCGTCACCCTCGGCCACACAAGCTCAATCATCGTCGGCGAAGCCCTCCGCAGACATTGCTCGACCCAAACGCAGGGCCACAGCCGACGAAGCGAAAACATCCCGCCAGCAGTCCCGCCGTGAGGCTCGTGAGGCTGAACGCCTCGCACGAGAAGAGTCTATCGCCAAAAACATGACGATCGCGTCTACCGACCTCGGCAGCCTCTTCGGTGTTCAGCGCGCCTCTCCTGCCGCCGCCGCCGCCACCACCACCACCACCCCAGATGAAACCAAGGTCGCCGCGAAGGCTACGAAACCCAAGAAAAAGCCCTCGACTGTCGCCACCACGATACCTTCTCTTCGGAGGATCCAGGTGCGACAGACTTTGGAACGTTTCGCTGGGGATTATTCTCGCTACTCGCCCATCCGCAAGGCGACCCGCCATACCGTGGGCCCGGTGCGGTATGCTCGGTATGCGTTGAAGAAGGATTTGAGTCCCCCGGATAGGAAGCTAGTGCTTGGTGTCATTGAGGGCCTAGTCAAGCCGAGGAAGGTGCAGGCGGTGCAGGCGAAGCAATGAGTAGGCAGGCTTTTTAGTTGTCATATTTCCCGTCATTTCCTTGCCCTGCAGCGTAAATTCTCAGGCACACACTCCCTGCTACATCTGTCTAACCGGTGAAAGGAAAAGCATGCGATCGAAGAAACAAAAAACGCAAATAAGTATACATCAATCTGGAAAACCAAAACACAGCAAGAATAAGGGGGAGATGTCGACTACGGTCAATGACCAGCCCTAGGCATCACCCTCAAGTTGATCCACCTCCTCTTCGTCGCTCTCAACCTCCGGCATCTCTTCCTCCCCGTTATCAGACCTGACGTATGTTACCGACGATTCCTCCTCTTGCCCCTGCTGCTCTTGCTGGTGGTGTTGTCCGTAATCGTAGTCTTGATCGTGATCAGAATCTGGTTCGTAGTCCGACTCGAGCGAGCTTCCTGGTAAAGCCCACCACGGTAGATCAAAGTCATAAACCCGTTCCAGCTCGGGAGGGACCTTGTACCCAAACGCCGTCACATTCCTCTGTGTCTTCCGGGCAGAAGGCGCCTCCGCACTCCGCATAGCTGCCAGCAAAAGCAGCGATTGCGGAGGAGCTCGAGGATGTACGGCATGATGAGAGCGCGATAGTGGAGGTGCCGATGGCGATTCCTCCTCCCCCTCGATACGCTGTCGTTTCTTGGGACGAGAGTTGGGCGTGCCAGGTGACGGTTCGGGTCTAGGAAGAAACCTGCCGTTGGGCCCACGCTGACGATTATCGACCCGGATAAGGGGAGGCGCGGATGCTGAGTGGTTGGCGGCCGATGAAGCCATGTTCTGCGATATAAATGTGTGGCGCGAAGCTGGTGCTGGTGCTGGTGGAGGGTGTGTGGAAGGAGACCGGACGGCTCCCGAAGCTAGTGACGAAGAGACATGCGCCTTATGGGCGCGCGGCTGTGCACCCTTTGGGGCTGGAGGTTGTGAGGAGGATTGTTTGTGTGGAGGTGGTGCTGAAGGCCGAGGAGTCGCTAGGGAGGGAAATTTTGTGGGGACCTTGATGAGGAGCTTTATTGATGCACTACGGTCCTTGGAGGTGCCACGGTCGTGTTCGCCAGCCTGAGAGGCGGCCTCTTCCGCCTCTCGGGCGGCAGCTTGAGTAGAAGCAGCAGCAGAGTTTGTGTCGGTGCTTTGTTGTCTCGATTTCTCCCTGTTGGAGCGCTTTTGTTCTGGATCAAGGAGCGTCCGGTATCGCTTCTCCAGACCCTCGGCTGCAGTCAGCATGGCCATCTTCCGGCGTTCGCCCTCTTGAAGACTGGTAGAGTTGTGCGTCAGGGATGTAGGATGGTCTTCGGCCTCTGGAGCACTAGCCTGGGAGTGCTTTGGGTTGGCAGCGAAGGAAGAGGCGGGCAGGGTGAGAAATGCGGTGACGTCCATAGATCGAAGCTGGTCTATCCGCTCCTTGAGCTTATAGTGCTCGTGTTGGAGCTTCTCCTTCTCGCGGAGCCTCTGCCGTTTTTCGAACGTCTCGTATTTGCGGTGCCTCTTCTCGTAGACCGCGTCCGACGTGTCCGCACCGTCCTAAGCCATAGCAAACGCATAACTCATGAGCAAGAATGTTGCGAACGAGTGGACAGAACAGAGTATACGGACGTCTTCAGTAATCCTTGGCCTGAATCTCCCACCCACCGCCTCATGTACCGGCAAGAGATGAAACTCTGGCGTCTGGATGACTTGCTGCTCCCTATAGGCCTTCAAGACCTCTGGCTTATCGAAGTATCGTTCGTACGCGGACGTGTTCAACTGCATCTCGAAGCTGACATCGCCAGCTTCAGACGAGGCAGGCACGAGCGAAGATTTCGTGGTGAGCAAAAGGGGTGTGTCCGCAGGGATAAGGGGCTCGCTCTCGTCTATTGTATCACCCATTCGAACACCGCGACCGGTCTCTCGTCAACGAAGGGAAAGAGTGAAAAAGATGCGGGCAACGCACGTTGTCGCTTCAGAGTATCGATTATCATCACGTCCGCATCGCAGCTGCCCACGCCGGGTCCACCTCTACGCGAGCGGGCAGGAAGGATGCGCTTCTGGCGCGTTTGAACGCCTGCCTTGGTGGGAGTGGGTGTCTGCGCGCTGGACGGACCCGCGGCCGATTCGAGCTGCATCGAGCCCGTCGGCGTCGACGTCTCTGAGAAGGAGAGAGTGGCCGTCTGGGGAGGAGCGCTCATCGCGACGGACGGTGGGGAGGACGAGGAGAACGTCCAAGCTGGGGGTGCTTGACACTACGCTTCGTTTGTATATTGCCCGCCGTCTTGCCGGTCCTTGGTGTCGTTCTTTCTCCTTTGATAGTGGGCCACATCAGGCACGCATTCTTGCATTATTCATAGCTCAATAAACAAAAATGTGATAATTGCGGGAGAGTCGAAAATAGAGGCGTCGAATACATAAACAATAGTGGAACAATATGGTGTACAAGCGTACGTATGTGTAAAGTACTTTTATAGTATCGACTACTGGCCCGACTGGTCGTACTGTCCAGAGCCATTTGGATAGTTCCAGTTACTAGACCATCCCTGGTCACCTGCCCCACCGTTGTCCCCATTCCAGTACCCACCACCCCCGTACTGGTTGAACTGAGGCATCGGATTGAACTGCTGCATGTACCCCATGTTGTACCCAAGCGACGAAGCAAACCGTGGGTTGATATGTGGTTGGACGAACTGCTGTCCGTACCCTCCATTATCAACATTTCCCTGATAAGGGTCGTAGGATGACCATGCATCACCACTATTGTGGCCTGCAGCATCATCGCCCACGGCGGGAACTACACCACCGTAACTTTGGGGCGATACGGGCGGCGGCGACACAGGATGTGGGGTCCATGGGTTATACTCGTCCGACTCAGACCGCTGTGCAGGTCCGTGGTGGCTCTCCGACCATGATCCACCTTGGTTCCTGCCACCAGCGCCACCTCGCCCGCGATCTCGACCACGACCACGACCATTCTCACGTCGTCGGCCACGACTGTCTAAATCACGCCCACCTCGTGAAGCACCACCCTCAGAACGCTTGCCTCCTCTGCCACGTCCTCTGCCTCGGCCCTGGCCCTGGCTCTCGCGGGGAGGATAGCCATGCGATGGTCCAGACGGTCCAGGAATTTCGGGACTTGAAGGAGCAGGAATCTCAGGCGGCGCGTTGTACTGTTCGGAGTACGGGTCGTCGTATGGGACAGGAGCAGCTCGAGACGGGCCAGGCGGGGCGTCTATGTCGTATGCGCCATGGGCATCATACGGGTTGGATCCGTAGAGAGAATCGGCCATGAAAGCGTCGTCCTGCTTGGCGAGGGAGGGTGTCGGCGTAGGATGCCGCGAGGAAACGACGGAGGGTTCCCGTGAGGCTTGACGGCTGGTAGATAAAGTAAGTAAAGTGGTTTGAATACGATGAGGAGGAATGACGCACCGCTCTTTCAGCCTCGCTTTGTGGGCAGCTTCCTCTTCGTCATCCGAAAACTCAAGCTCGTACTCTGCAGGTTCTTCATCATGCACGTTACTCGCATCACTTCCTTTGAAGCGCTTCAACTCGTTCATAAAGACGAACTTGCTTCGGTGGGGCACGTGAAAGATTTCGCGGCCAACGGTGACCCTCTCCACGTCGAGTGGGTAGCTTTCACTGTACTTGACTTGGTAAAGCGGCTGATATGTCGGCCCAAAAGTCTCGTAAATCTGGAAGAAACGTAAAAAAAAAATAGACTAGACACAAAAGGAGAGTGCCACTCACATAACCCATAACCTTGCGATCGTCAAAGACAAGCAGCGTATCGGAATCCAAAGCTTTCTCGTTGGCCCTGAGCTGGTTGGCAGACGCAGAACCCCTAATAATGACGACATTATTCACGACGCTCATGATCTCGCCTACTTTTGCCAAGGGCTCGTCAGGACCGACTTCAGATATTTTGGGAATGTTGATGTCGTCGTTGGCGAGCTCGTTCTTGGTGCGAACTACGGCATTGGATGTAGGTCCACCAGATTCTTCATCGTCGTCCTCGTCCATGTCGGGAACTTTGTCCTGCGCTCGAGTAGATTTCGGGTCATCTGCAGAGTCGCTATCTGAGTCTGAGTCTGAGTCGGATGAAGAGTCTGAAACCCGTTCGCTAGAAAAGACAAAGCAAGCATGTCAGATAGAGAAGACAAACAAGCAAGGCCAAATGGACCACACGGTTTGGGAGAACCAGGTGCTAAAAGATCATCGACTTCATCCTCACTAGCAGTCTCGTCTTCAGAGCTCTCTATAGAGGTATCGTCGGATGGAGGCGAGGCTTTAACAGGGGCTGCCTTGAGATTATTCTCCACTACGGGGCCAATGAAGTCCTGGATGATGAGCAAGTCCTGTGGGACGACAGAAGGCAGCTTGAAGACGGGATCCATCGCGAGCAGGGAGATGAAGGTGGTCTTGGAGTGAGAACAGACAGGAGAGCACAAAGGAGCACAAAGCCTGACGCGCCGCATTTTTCAAAGTCGATCACGCGTCTTGACCATGCTCAGCTTCAGGCGACCGACGAGCTCGTTCACCCTCACCCGTGGTGCTCTCCGTTTCTACTCGACGCAGCCCCCAGAGAAACCGTCTCTGAAGCTCGTCGCAGAGCTTCGCAAACTCACAGAGGTTTCCATCACAAAAGCCCGCGAGGCACTCAGCGCGTCGAACAACGATGTGCAGGCTGCGCTTCAGTGGCTCGAGAAGGACATCGTCGTCTCTGGCGCGAAGAAGGCCGCGAAGGTAGAGGGTAGGGAGACTGGGGAGGGCATGATTGGAATCTCTGTGCTGTCGAGAGGAACGGGCTCGTCTCCCAGCGGTGTTCGTGCTGCGATGATTGAACTCAACTGCGAAACGGACTTCGTGGCACGAAACGACCTGTTCGGAAAGCTCGTCGCCGACATCACACACACCGCCGCGTTCATTGCAGAACCCGACTCGTCTTCATCGAACGTGTTACGGCCATTCGACCTTGACGCACTGCTCGATGCACCATTACTCTCCCCCAACGCGGTCGAAGCCCGAGCTCAGTCCACCGTCGGGTCCGCCATCCGCGACACCATCGCCAAAATCGGAGAAAAAGTCTCTCTGAAGAGGGTCGTCACAGCCATCCAACATCCCGTCCCTCCAAAATTCGCATCATCCTTGGGCTTACGCCTCGGTTCGTACACCCACGGATCCGTGAACCTTCCCTCCCAAGGCCGGATCGGCGCCCTCTCACTCCTCGCACTAAAATCCCCTCGTCTCTCTACCCTCTTTGCCGACCCATCCTTCCGGGAAGAGGTCGAGAAACTGGAGAGGTCCCTGGCCCGACAGATCGTTGGGTTTGAAACGCATACCGTCCGTCCGCCTACGAGCGATTTTGAGGAGACCGCCCTGTACTGCCAGCCGGCGATGATGTTCCCGGGCGAGTATTCAGGACAGTCCGTGGAGAAGTTGTTGAACAACTGGGTACATGAGAAGCAGTTGGTCGTGGAGACTGATGTGGCGGAGAGTGGCGGCGCGGAAGTGCTGGAGTTCGTGAAGTGGAAGGTTGGAGAGCCTGCCAAGTAGACCTACTGTTCGCCCTGGTATGTATTTGATTCGGCTCTTGCACCTTTGCGATACTGACCATAAGCTGTCCAGCATCATTTTGTATGATATATCTCTGTAATGATCAACACACCACTCAACATCTATCTATTTTCTGCGCAAACCGTCCAGTAAAAGGACTTCTTTTTGAATTTCTATTCAAAGATCGCACAGGCAGTCGTTCTAAAGGATACAATACCAAAGACGACACCATGTATGCCGCCACCGACCTAGAAGCAGAGCCTTCTGTGAACCAGTTGTTCTCAGTTAGGTTCGCGAGCGTGATGGCCTTCTTCGGTACAAAGGAACCCGTTTACGAAATCATAGCGTCACAACGCAAGTCCAAATGGGATTCAAAGCAAACTACCAACTACAACAAGCGAACACAAAGAATACACGAGCGCGACACAATACGTTTTTGAGGGGAGAAGAAGAGAGGGGTATGATGGTGATCTTCTGAGAATCCGGTCACCGATAGCTTTAACGCCAAGTGTCGTTCTCGGTGAAGGTGCCGCTGGATGGCGTAGTGATCTGCATATTCGGCTGCAAGAGCAAATGCGGACACGTTAGCGCGGCTGTTCCATCCACATTGCATGGCTACATTCGAGGAAAGTCACTCACGTCGCTCTCCCAAGTGACCTGGCCGTTGTTGATGCGGATGTATTTGTACTGGATCGACGTCGACGCGGGGAGGTTGACGGTGACTATACGGCACGGTGTCAGTCAAAAATAGTGGATAGAAAGAGTGGGTTATACGTACCACTCCAAGTTGGGTAGTTCGCCGCGCTCAAGGGGATAGCGTTGGTGGGAGACCAATTCTCAAGCTGGTCGACGGACCCAGTCAAGAAGATGTTCTCTATAGACAGAACGTCAGCGGTCCATTTCATTTCTCTCGATAATTTAGGGACGTACCTCCAAACACCGTGGTAGCCTGCACGTTGAAGGTTACAGCGACCGTACCACTGCTTCCTCCACCACCTCCACCACCCCCACCACCAGTAGTCGAACAACTCGTCGTCAAACCCGCAGCTCCCCAGCTCTCTCCCACCACCCCACTACGCGCCATCGTAGCAGTCAAGACAGACGCATAAGACCACGTCAGGTCAACCGCGCTGACGGGCACACCGGTGTTACGATCGTACTGTTCCGCGAGTCCTCCACCGGAGGGAGTGAACTTTGCGACGACGTCGACGTAGCCGTCGGCGAGGAGCTGGACGGCGGCGGTGACGGACTGGAAGGTGGTGCTGTTGGAGGAGAAGGTGCCGGTGGCGATGGTTCCGACGTTGGCGAGGCCTTGGAAGAAGGGGAGCGAGGTGCTGGTGATGTTCAGGTTGCCGGCCTTGTTCCACACGCTAGATGGCACAGAGTCAGAACCGATAGGAATAGCAAGGGAAGGCGAGCTCACATGAGGGAGTCGTAGAGCTGCTCTGCAACGGCCAGTGTCGCGAGGTACCACGGCTGACGTACAATGAACCAGTCAGAGAGCAAGGTCAGAAGAGAGCTCTGGTTGGTACTCACGTTACCGCCCATGTACGAGTCTTCGGGGTACCGACCAGTGGCAACGGGCTGGCCAGCGGCAACGGCAGAGTTGATACCGTAGATAGTCCTGAAGGCATCCGTATAGACCTTCAAGTTGGCTAGAGCCTTGTCGCTGCATGGTTGGAAGGTCGTCACATCGCACAAAGCGGCGGGGTCGAAGGTATGGATGGAGGCGAGGATTGTGTTGGCATCCTTGCCAGAACGGCCTCCGCCGGTATTGGCTGTGATATAGCCGCTGGTGGGGTTCCAGAACGACTGCGTACACCATGAGAGACATATTAAATTGAATATTTTTATTTACATACCTGGAGGAAGCACAGAAGATTGTTGGCCTGGGTCGTCCAGCTGGCGACGTTGGAAGTCTGACCGAGGGCAGTAGCAAGGATGATACCCTCACGGAGCGCACGGTGCTGGACGGAGGTCGTGAAGAAAGACGACGACGAAACTTCTTCCCACAAATCGAACCTACGCAGTCGACGCTGAGGAGTCAGAAACAATCCCACCAATCATGGCCGAAGGCGCCGTGGACTTACGTGGTCTGATTCCAGTTGTTCGCGACATAGTTTAAATCGAGCACGATCATTGGCCATATGGTGCCAGTGACTGTACTGGAACCACCATTGTTGCGCAACCAATTGGACTAAAAAGGGCTCGGCTATAAGGCTTGGGAGTCGGTGGAGATGAGACGCTCCTTACCCATGTGATAAGCGCGGTGGCGCGCAACGCAGGACCGTCTATAGCACGTAAGGTTATCCCGGATGGCTATCGAGCTAAAGAAAACACGTACCACGCTGCGGCCTACCCCAGGCACCAGTAAACGCTAAATAAATAAGACATATAAGATATTGACGAGTCAGGGTGAAGATTTTTTTTTACCGGACTCGTCGATGTTGAACCTGAGCAGAAGGATCAGTTGCTACGTATGACATGTCGATGAGAGGCACGCACTTAGGCTCCCCAAGGCCGCCGGTGGAGACCGACCCTGTAATACACAAAAGGTATGAGCCACTGGTCCAGTAGCAAGATAGTACGAAAGATGCAACATACCAGAAGGGTTAGATACTTGTTGAAGAATTTGTTCAGCAGTGACGAAATTCTGAATCTGTGACTCCAAAGACGAATCAAGGCCAAGGACAAATTGATCGATGATGGCCTTGAAAACCAGAGAGCTGTCGCGGGTCCCTGATACGTATAAAACTCAATTTAAATATATAATAAAAATGCTTGGAAAGACCTACAAGTGAACAAGTAGTTCGGGTTCGTGTTGGACGGCGAGGCGATAACCACACCAGCCTTCGCACCCTGTGATTTAGAACCACTGGGTCCGATGTTGGCGAGCAGGTTTGCCTTAGCAATGGGAGACTCCGACGCGATGTATGCCTCGGCCGTGCTGGACTGAGCCCATACGGACGAAACGAGACCAACACAGAGTGAGGCGACTTGGAGGAGTGAGGTGAACGAACGCATTTTGGGGGGAAAAGCCTCTGGTGAAGGAGAGGATACTGGAATTAGTTCAGTCACAACGCTCTTTTATACTAAGTAGAGAGTGCATGGCAGCATGGACGGCGAGGGGCATTCATCCTGTCGGAAGAAGGATCGAGGTCGGATTGAGTGGATTGAATTGAATTTCGAGCCCTTGTGCTGTTTCAAACTCCGCACAGCCTGGTTGTGGCGCCTCGGGTCGGCTACAATACGAACTTTCTACCTTTTGCGGTAATCCCGCGATGCGACGAACTCCCATCGCGACTCCTCCGAGCATCAGCAGACAGACAGCTGACGATGTTCCTTACGGTCCACATGGAATTGTATGCTGACGGGGGCTGCATCGGCCACTTCTCCTGACCGAACATGCTTTTCTTTTTTCGCCGCCGCATCTGCTTCGGCTTCTTTGCCAGCATTCAACTTGCCTTCTGTCTGTCCAACGACCTGGCCTGGGCACAATTGAAACAACTTCATCCTTCGTCAGCGACAAACATAATCCTCATCATACACTTCCATAACGCCGGTGGTCACCGGGTCGCAGATCTACTGAACTTGAAAATCCTCAAGTGGTAGTCGACTTGGCACCGTGCCCAGTACTTTTCTCTACGTCTATCCTTCTGATGCTCGGTGATAATGCATACCCAGCTTGCTCGTGAATCTTGCACACCATCCGCTAGCCGAAGTAGTAGGACCAACGTAAAACTCTCACCGTCCATCATTTAGTACCCCTGTCCCACGACTCGCCAATAGATCTTGTTGACTATGGTCAGCCTTCTCCAAAGTCGTCAATTGGTCGCTCCTGAGGCCTGATTGAAGATCTTCAGGTCAGTATGCAGGCCGTTAGGAGGCTATCCATCTGTCTGCGTGGACGTACCTGTCTATGACATGCTTCCACAGAGTTTTTTGTTCTCGGTGCCTTGACAACCCCTCCCGCACGAAGGCACGCTCCTATAGACTTGACTGGACGCCTTTTCAGGACTCCACCCCTCCGAACAGACGACATCCATCAGAGCGCCTGAGGATTTATAAAATACTTCTCGATCAAGTCTCTCTCTCTCATTTCTTAGGCTATTCATGCCTAACAGGCATGGTCTCACAGGTACGTGCCTCTATTTTTTCTCCCTCACTGATGATATCCCCGCTCCACAAAGAGCTTGTGGTACAGATATCCGCATATTCAGTCGGCACCGTTCTACGCGTGTCGGCCACGTCGGTGCTTGGATAGTGTCTCTGCGCTTGGAACCATGAGGACGTCCGACGCGCAAGGTACCTGCTGACCGAAGACGGACTTCCATAATAAGCATTTGCCTCTGATTTTTGTGCTTTATATTCTTGTGGTCTTGATACCTTCGCCTGTAGGCGGCCCAATGTTTCTCGCGCTGATTGTACTATTTACACATCCCACTGTATAAGCTGCTTCCACTGCACCCTCGCTCCTGCGCTGCCACCGTGCCTTGTGGTACGCACGATCTCGCACTTGATGCGTCCAGGCCGGTTGATTCTATGCGACTGTTGTCTTAGTTGGGCAAAACCCTATTCGAAGGTGACGCAAGATCCCAACTTAAAGATGGCACCACCGACAAGATGAATCAATCACCATTGGTCTCGACTGGATTGGGCTGTCCTACCTGCTTTCTCACCAGCTCGCGCTTGATCCCCGCTTCTCATTGGGTTATTTCCTGTACTCACAGAACGTCAATTTTCTGATAGAAAGCATATATGATTTCCAAGAGAGATGTTTCTCAAGGAGCGGCGGGCAACGAACTACTAATCTCTGATTATCTAGCTGAGAGCCACGGTAAAGATGGGTCTTAGGAAATTTCATACATAACGAAACCTTAAAAACATCGGTGTCCGAACTCGACATGTTCGACGGGAAATAGACCTAAATTCCTAAATCGGCAATGACAGTCGTATCTCCTCCAGCTCCTTGCCCCACAAACCAGTGCATCATCTCTCTGCGCCAGTCAGTAACGTCCTATCAACCACAGAGCCCCTCCCTCCTTCTTTCAGGCTGTCCCGCAGCGTGAGGGAGTGAATACCAAGCCCCCCCTTTCACGAGCAGCCTCGGCCAACGACATCGCCTGGTCCGAGTCCGAGTCTGAATCATGGCCAGGAAACAGTCCTCTTGCTCGCTCGCATATGTCCTCAGCGGATGTTCAGTCAGCCAGGAGTTCGGGGTCGTAGTTATCCAAACGAAAGTCAGGAAACTGCAGACATGACGAGATATGGATGGTCGGCTAAGTTAATGGCAGGTGGCCGTGCGTTACAGTCGGTGTGGATGGTGTTGGTAACGAGCGTTGTCGGGTGTTGGTCGACCAGATCATTGTGAAGGGATATAAACTTACATAGAGAGAAATCTATGTCTATGTTCATTAGCCACGTACGACAGACCCAGTTCCAAGTGGTATACTTACCATGTCTCTGGAATGGCGATGAGAGTGACAGATGGGTGCGGCAGAAATATACATAACGCGAGAAAAAATACGCTAGGCCGGGTATGATCATCTAAGTCAAGAGGAAGATATAACAGTGAGTAAGTCAAGCAACTTAGAGCAGCCAAAGACACCTCGAAACAGGAGCAAAGTCCTAACTCGACGCCCTCGCCTCCTCCAACACCTTCTCCATCTCCGCCCGCCAATCCACCTTCAAAATCATCTCCAACCGCTCCTCGATTGCGTCCAGTTTCATACGCTCAAGAATCGTTCTCTCGATAGGCGTCTCGAGGGCGGCTTTGATGGCGGCGGCAAAGCCTGCGTAGTCGTCTTTGTGGACGTTGTAGACATACGGAGGGTCCATGTATTTGAGGAGGCTGTGTTGGGAGTCCCAGCTGCGACGATCTGCTTTGTTGTCCTCGTTCCACTTGGAAAGATTGATAGTTGAGTTTCGGGATGATGCTGTAGGATGTGGTTAATAATGCTTACATGAAGGATAGGGTTGATGAATGGGACACCCAGACAGAGGGCCTCATAAGGAGTAGGCGACCTACATTTAGACCCATGGACCGTCAGAACACCGATGAGCGCAAAAATTAAAACGAACAAACGACACTCACGTCTTCGGATGGCCCGCACCTATCAACACCTTCGACTGTGCTATCATCTCCACAAACTCCTTCTGCGGCAACTGTCCCACATTGGTCAACCCCTCCGGCAGTGTCACCTCCAAATCCCCATCTCTCCACGGATCATTACTCGCCCCTACCACGAAATCCACATCCGCATCCACGCCCGTACCCTGCATCCCCTGTGACACCTGTGCATACCACTCTGGATCCCAGGCACGCTCTGGTCCGGGAAGGAAATACGCGAGGCGTTTGGCCATGATATAGGCCTGGTCGGGTCGTTGGTCATGAGGCACGAACCGATGGGCGAGGCAGGAAGACTCGATGGAGTAGCCGAGGTAGGTGTTTGGGGCGAAACCGTCGAGTGTGTATGGTTCGGGGCTCAGGGTCCATTTCGCACCGAGTGGATGCTCAGGTTGAGCCCAGAAGGAGAACTTTGATACTCCCAAGTCAGCAGGGAGGAGGAAAGCGCGGAGGGAAGGGTACGTACCGTAAATATCTTCCAGATAGGGATGCCTTGAGGGTTGTCCTCGGTTTTGACGCAGTTTTCTGTGTCTTTGAAACAGCCCCAGGTTTCGGAGCCTTCGACTAGGACGGCTTTGACCAGCTGGGGGAACATTTGGTATAGCTGTACCGCGCGGTCCAGGTTCAGCGCATACAAGACTGTGTAATGCATGTTCTGAAGGGCTTGGACCTAGTAAAATGTCAATCAAAATCGATATCAGGTGAGAGTGACTCTTACTGTGGACCTCGCCCTACAGGAAAATAACAGAGCGGCGTTAGGCCTGCACAAGTACAGACAATAAGTAAGATCACAGATGACGCTCACCAAATGTCCTCTCCTCCTGTCCAGCCAGCCAGAGCACCTCGGAAATGATAAGAGCCCAGGATAACAACTGTCAAGGTCAATCAGTCAGACATAGCGACGAATACAGCTATACGAGAGATGTTCAACGACGTACCTTCTCTCTGATTCTTCTTACAATTCGACTGCTCGAGGCACTGGAACAATTCCCTGATCATATTATTATTCTTGCTCGTCCACGTATTTCTATCAGTGTCAGAAAACAGGAACTGGCTCAGTCCCAGCGTAGGTGGCGGCGAGGGCGGTGGTGAGGGAGGAGGTATAGATGGCTCCGAGAATGTTACACGTGGTTGCTGAATATTCTCTGCGCGGTGAACCGGGTTGACTGGATAAGCTTGTGTTCGTGTTTGGTGCTCTACGGGGACGACCGGTCGCGGATCATGATCGCGAGAAGGGTAGAGACTCTACAATGAGTTGTCCGTAGTGAGAGATTTCGTGGAAGCAGTCACCCTCATTCGAGTCAGAAGCACGTATGCATAGCCACATGAAGTAGGTGAAGATAAAGAGGATGCATGCCGCGCGAAACATAACGATACGACTAAATCGTAAGGGAAAAATCAGAAAACGGAAAGGTGAAAAGTGGGTGTGATACGCACGAGCGGCGAGATAGACGGGCAGGACCCATTATTGTCCTTGACTGGAGCTTGGACTAGCTTGGTGAATTTTGATAATCCGGAAGAAAAAAAGACGTGGAAAGGAGAGGAAACACGACTAAGCTGGTCAGCGAGACATCCAGTAGACAAGTCCACTCACGATAAAAGAAAGTTGCCGCTAGCCAGGAAGTACAAGGGAAAGGAGAAGAAGAATAAAAGGAGAGCCGAAAGAGAAATCGCATGGTCCTACATAGAGTCCGATCTTTTATAATAATTGGAATTGAAAAACGAAAAAGCTTCATGGAAGGAAGGAAGGAATGAAGGAAGGACTCGGAAACGGTACTTATATTCAGAGTACATGCGTCATGATGTCGCTTCGCATACTGTAGTTACACTTTTCCTTTGATGAATAAACTCGCAGATTTTGAGGTGCTTACTTGGAAGACTGACTTGGGAAGTAGGCATTTCAACCACCGGCATGTCTCTGTGCTCATTTAGAGTATCTTCTGCTGTTCGAACTTCAACGAGATCGTCGATCGAACCGAAGGGTGTGCATCACGTGCGGAAGAACAACACGATTTGTCAGAATTCAGGACCCAGGTCCTCATTCTCCGAGACTCCGTCCCAACTCCGACCCCTCCCTGTCCACCATAATCTTTTTCTTTCAGTATTATTACCGCGGATAAAGGGGCCTTCGATCCACAAACGAGTACGGAGGCTCTGCCTCGTCATAGCGTATGGGCCGTGAGTACGCGTGAGCTGAGCTGCCACTGATATCACTTGGAACTGTCGCTACTTATCGAAGTGTCCTTTCAAATTTGAAGTACTACTACTCCTTAGAGTGATCCTCGCACCCGCCGGTCGAACGCCGTCCACTCTGCTTAAGGAGACTACTACTACTGTCCCTTTTACTGCTATCTAGACTCTATTGCCTTATGAATGCTATACTCGGTCATGACGAAATGATCAGACATGCTTTTCGCTTCCCTCTTGGTGCCCGTTGTACTATCTGGCCGTTCCATCGATTCACACGTCTTTGTACTGTTATGCTAACTTCTCAGGGTGCAGCGTTTTCGGTACTTCTGCGTCTTTACTTTGACGATGAATGACGATAGTGCGCCTTGCATGATGATGTATGCAAACCGGAGTAATATTTAAAGCTGATATCCTGTTCATTGACGTTTTTGCAGCTCCGAGCCTTTCTCGCCCATGCAGAACCTCGTTGTATTGCGCCTTATATCTCTTCTCTTGGCTAGTCTTGTCCATGCTGTAACTTTTCAGCCTTTGTCTGAACAGCCTGGACTGATTGATAATGGAACGTTTGGACCTGAGGTTGAAGTAGTGCATCTCTTCTTCAATGAGCCCCCTATTGGACTCGCAGTCGGTCCAACGGGACGTGCATTCGTCACCCACGGAAGGTACCCGACACCATTACTACTTATATTATTTCTTATTCATTACACTTCACAGAGGTAATCTCACTCAAAGCCCTATCACGTTCGGCGAAATCGTCAACGCAAGCGTTGAAGTCCCATTCCCCAACGCCGAATTCAACATACCACCGGATGGACTCACGAACTCTTCATCAGGACGACTCCTTTCCTCGAGCGACTCCACCCACTTCATCAATGCGCAGGCTGCAGTGCATGACGCGAAAGGCCGTCTCTGGGTACTTGATTCTGGTCGACCGAGCCCGGTGCGTCGTCCGGTCGTTGAACTTAGCTTTGCTGTGCCTAGAACCTAGTCAACTAAAAATTACCCTATGTGTGGTGCGGTATCAGGGCGGTGATATTACTCTGGGCGTTCCAGGCGGACCGAAGTTGATGGGTTTCGACGTGGCGAATAATGCTACAACACCGTTCACCACCATCACTTTCACTGAGGACGTGTTGCCATCTCTGGGTTACTTAAATGACCTCCGAATCGACTTGACTACGAGCCTCACCAAGTCTGGGAAAGGGGTTGTGTATCTCGCCGACAGCGGTAGGCTTTTGTCAATCTTCAGGCCTTTGAACGAGTTTGCTCTAATCTTACTTGTATCATCTGCTCTGTGTAGGCGCTGCAGCGATTATCGTTGTCGATCTGGGTACTGGTAAATCCTGGAGGCATTTGAGTGGCCTTCACAGCACCTCGCCCAATCCCACACAGCTCCCGACGTTATTTGGAGTTCCGACGTATATTGCTTCGCCAAAGAATCCGGCGTATCATTACGAGACTGTGGCAGGTGGTGGAATCGATGGCAAGCTCCTCATCTCGTCAGTGTGTCGAGGAATGGAGACTCATCACGATCAAATAACTGTACATAGGATTTGCAATCTCCGCCGACGGTCAATTCATCTACTACACTCCGTTTGCGAGTAGAGACCTCTACCGCGTCCCCACTGCTGCTCTGCTCCTCAACCCTGCGGACGACAATCTTGCGTTCTTGAAAAGCGCAGACAGCGTACAGCACTTGGGTCAGGTGAGGAGCGTAAAAATCGACCATGTTCTCTAGCTAACGTGCACGCGAAGATTGGTGGTCAGGCAAATGGTTTGGAGACTGATACAACTGGGAAGATTTACGTCTCTTCGCCAGAACACAACTCCATCAATATGTTTGATCCAGAAACCGGTATGATCTCGCCGTTTGTGAGATCGCCTATCTTGGCATGGCCGGACACTCTGACGTGCGTACCCACCTTTTTGTGAGGTGCCTCAGCTAATCCAGTATTGACACGCCATGCAGTGTGGCGAACGACGGATTCATCTACGCCACACTCAATCAACTCTGGTTGAGCCCTGGGTTCCAGAACGGCACGGATAAAAGAGTGAAGCCATTCACGCTTGTGAGGGTGCCAATCGAGGGCAAGCCTGTTCTGCTGGGATAAGTTGCGATACTTTCGTAGTCCCGGGGTGTTGTATGGACTCGGAGCCTTCGACTGCCAGACTTGATGAAGCGGTTCTAAACGTCGTAAACGCTCGCTCAATGAATCATACCAATCATCCATCTGGCTCTGTCGCTGGGTCGCCATCTCAAGGATCAAAATATCAATGTACTGCTTGTAGGACTAAGATATCGCGAGAATATGGGGTGCAAGAAGAACTTAAACGCAGCTCGGCCGACGCGACGCGTAGGTGGCACGTGAGAAAGAAAGGATCCCGACGCGCTTGGTCAGCGCGTCGCACCTTGGCTCTCGCCCAAACACCGTCCTCAATGCGCAAATCGTCGTACTCGCTCGCTCGTCGTGCTCTTCATGCTCGCCATGCATCGACGGTACCCGTGAACCCTCCAGTACAGGTCACCACACTCCCGAACCGCATTCGTGTCGCAACTGAGTCTACACCTGGCCATTTTTCCTCCGTGGGGCTCTACGTAGATGCAGGCTCGCGCTATGAGAACCCTTCGACGTCGGGGGTCAGCCATTTCATAGACAGAATGGCCTTCAAAGTCAGTCTATTCCGTCGACCATCCCTTATAGTCATCGCTGATTTTATTTAAAGAGCACTTCGTCCATGACGGACGCAGAAATGTCAACGGCAATCAATGCTCTCGGAGGCCAGATTATGTGCTCTTCCTCTCGGGAGACTATCATGTACCAGTCTTCTCATTTCCACCAAGCGACTCCTCTGGCAGTCTCTCTCATTGCCGACACTGTCCTAAATGCGTCTCTTCTTCCCGAGGAGCTCGACGCTCAACGAGACGCAGCTTTCTACGAAACTCGTGAAATTCGTGCGAAGCCTGAGATGATCCTCCCCGAAATCCTTCACTACGTCGCTTACAATAATCAGGCTCTCGGCAACCCACTACTCTGCCCAGACGAGCGAATAGACGAGATCAATGCACCGTTGATACGCCAGTTTATTTCGGAGTGGTATCGACCAGAGAGGATGGTCATTGCTGGAGCGGGTATGGAGCACGAAGCTCTCGTAGAATTAGCGGACAAGTACTTCTCGTCACTAAAGTACACGCCGGTGGAGACTCCTTCACTATCGACTTCACGGCAAAATGCACCTGCACAGCAGGTCCCACCCCATCTTCTCCCTTCTGCATCCTCACCTGCGCTTGTCAAGTCACTCACTCGCGCAGCCTCATCATACCTCAACCCATTCTCCCCTTCGCAACCACCCGCGTCTCCCACTTCTCTCCTCGGGTCCACATATACGGGAGGAGAGCAGTTCATCCACGACCCCAACTCCGAGTTCAATCATATATACATCGCATTCGAGGGTGTGGGGATTCACGATGACGACATCTACGACCTCGCCACAATGCAAGTTCTTCTGGGTGGCGGCGGCAGCTTCTCCGCCGGTGCGTCTTCTCACACCTCTTCTAATCTTATATCTACACTCCCTGACATTGTCATGAATAGGTGGACCCGGAAAGGGCATGTACTCCCGCCTCTACACACACATCCTCAACCACCACCCTCAAGTCGATCACTGCGCGTCATTCCATCACATCTACACCGACTCTTCCCTCTTCGGGCTCTTCGCCTCATTCGTACCCTCTCCCGGAGGCCGCCATGGCAATTCTCCCACACAACTCCTCCCTCATCTCGTTCACCAGCTCAGTCTGCTCCTCTACCGCCCGGTTCCTTCTTCGGAACTCAACCGGGCTAAGAACCAGCTGAAGTCCAGTCTTGTTATGGCGCTCGAGAGCAGGGCAGTGGAGGTCGAGGATTTGGGTCGGCAGGTAAGCCCTGGTGTACGCTACTTGCCATTGAACTACAGAGTTGATCATGTCCTTGTTCCAGTTGCTCGTCCATAACCGCAAGGTCCACGTCTCCGAGATGTGCGACAAGATCGACCTAGTGACCGCCGAGTCCCTCCAACGCGTCGCCACACGTGTCTTTGGGCCCGAGTCGGGCGGGAAGCCCACGATCGTCACCATGGGCCACGAAGACGTTAGGGATGCGAAGGGCGTCTTCAAGAAGTACGACGTCGGGTCGGTCTGAGCTGTCTTGGCTTACCTTGTTTTCTGTAAATTACTCACCATATCATATGCTCTGATATCACGCCGCACGCGGCACCCACACCCCACCACATCCCACACTCTTAATCAATGTTGCGCTACAGTGTCCAATCTCGTGAATGTGTCGTACAATTGCAAGCAAAGAAAGACGGAAAGAGGAAAAGGAAAACAGAACGCGGGCAGCAGACAGATCGTTACAGGATTGTCCATGCGGAAGAAATACAACAAGCTCAATAATGTGAACTGCAGGCATCCTAACGTGAGTTGAGTGGAATGCGTCGTCAAAGGTCAGTACAGGGAAGTTCGTGTCGATGCCATCTATGGGCTACATATGCAGTAAAATTACAGTCTACGCCAGCGCGAGTCTCGTCGAGTGCTCAAATATATATGTGGGTCGTCGCCTGTCGTGGGCATCCATGCACCATGCTGTGATGGCAAAAGATTGGAGACCTAGACACAAAAACCAGGCACAACACCCATCAACCAGTCAGCCAATGCACGACAATAAAATTCATGTCAAAAATGGGGAAGAAAGGAAGATGTACACTCACGAGGAATCGTTGGCCTTCTTTAAACGTCCCCGGTTGTCTCCCTTCGTCAAAGGATAAGGACAGTACATCCCAGACGGTGATTTCGGCCGTCCGATGTGAAGGCCTCCGGTCTGTGTGTGCGTCTTTCATGAAAAGAACACGGAAGTTGCGAACGTCGCGAGGAGGACAAATAACCTATTCAACCAATTCAGAAAAAATCGGGCCATTTAGTCCATGTAGAGGTAGAGAGAGAGGAACTAGGAACCGACCTTGAGGTCGCGCTCGATCTCTTCGTTAATGCTCTCTCGCTCTTTTATACTTCGCTCGTGGATGTACCGCGCGAGCCAACCGGCTTGGTTGTTTGTAAGGTGGGCCGTGGCTTGGTGATAGTCTCCTCCGCCGTCCAAGTCGTCGAATATATCTTCGATGTCATCGGGCGGTGAATCTGTTCCCCCACCGTCACAAAGTCTGTCAGTCCGATGGCAAGTAGGTGGTAGTGAGTAGAAGGAGCGACTTACCATCGTCGGAGGGGAAGAAGCGTCTCGCTTTCAGTGCGAGTTTATCCGCCCAGCCTTGGTAGACGGACATCTTAGTCTCGAAGTCTTGCCGGAGGCGGGCTTCTTCACCGTCTCTTCGTTTCTATAAATCACATCCAGAAAAACTGTGAGTGGCAGAAGAACGATGGTTGGAACGAAATATGAAGGTGAGCGAAACGTACCCGCCACTGCTCGTGTATTTCCATCTCCTCTTTCTCTTTGCGTGGACCCTCTCTCGTCTTATTTCCATTCTCATCCTCGATGAACTCAAGAAACGCTATCGGGTATGCCTGGAACAATGCCAATACAAAAACCACAAGAGCAGAGATAAATCTTTAACGTCTGATTCGAACGAGACGGCAGTGGGGTACAAACCTTGGTGACGATAAGGTCCAACATCTGAACCGGGCCTCCATCGGGCGTGAGACTGTGCAGCGTGGACACACAAAGCCCATTCGTGAACCCGAGCTTTGCGTGCCATGGGGCGATATGTGCTGAGTTGCCGGAGAGGCTCAGTTGGACGGTTTCGTAGGCATCGAGAACTTCGCAGGGTTCCGACTTTCCTGTGGACAGCTTTATAGACAACATGGTCTGGGTGAGTTCACGAAATCAAAAGGTGTGAAGAGAACTGAGAGGTACCTTCGCGCCCGCCACAGCGATCTTTCTTCCAACACGAATAGCACCCCTCTCGATCGCCCGCGCAAGCGGTGGGTCGACCGTAGCTCTCAACTTATACCATCCGTCCGTCATCTCGAGCTCGGGACAAGCGGCTATGGCCAACCCATCACTGGTCACGCCGCTCTCGGACCAGAAGATATTCGAGATGCAGAGGACCATGGGGCTGCTTGCGGGAGAGTCCTGGGTCGTGATCAAACGCAGAGCAGGTCTCGAGCCGCCGTTGAGCTCTTTCTCGTACCTTTTGGCACAAAATGTGTGTGTCAGGATCAGGTTCGTCTATACCGTATTGGAATTGAATGCGGAGGAAGGACGAACCGGTATCTCAGCTGACGCATCACTTCGTCCCAGGACCACCTCCTGGCGTCCATATCTCGCTCGCGCCCCGGGTCCAAACACACCATACCCGCTAGTTTCCAAAGAATGAGGCCCCAGTGGTTGTCGACCCATTCTTTGGTGGCCAGAGAGCACCCTAAATATTGCAGTTCTACCAGCGCGGCTGTCGAGTCCAACTCTGTTTGGCCTCTGCCGGATGGGTTGTAGAATACGTAGTAGAGGGCTGTCTCGGGTGTGATTTGGGCCAATTCGGCAGTATTGCTAAAAGAAGAGGTTGTTAGTGTTAGTCGAGAAAGGCGTTGGATTCAGAATATGCAAACGTACATTCCGACTGCTTCTAAATGGCTCGTGCTATGTGCGCCCGGCCACAGCCCCGATGCAGCGAGCGTCACTCGTCCAGGAGGAGATTCTACGAGGGATTATTTAACCTTGAGATGATTTCGGGTTGTCTCAAGACAGCACTTACTCAGATCAAAAAATCGTCGTCTTGCTGACTTTCCTACAGACCTTTTCCCTGGACTAATTGAACCGGCGGTCACAATACGGACACTCGCAGTCGGGCGTTCATAACTTAATTTCTGCTCCAACTGGGTCCTACCCGGTTCGCCAGGTCTCATCCCATTCTTGAAAGGCGTGACGAACTTCTTCTGCGTCTTCACCTGACCGTTTGCCGCGCGAGGGGTGACGCCGAGCCGAGGTGGCGTAGCGAAGGATGCTGCTTGTCGAACAGGGGTGGCGAAAGAGGGACCGGCAATAGGCCGGGGAGTATCAGCGACGAGAGGGCGAAAGCTGCGTGCGGGTGTGAATGCGACGGGAGGTTCGTTACGACGTGGCGTTGTCTTTTGAGCGGAGAACGGAGTAGTGGGATTGGGAGGGGAAGGACGGTTGAATACTGATGGTCGACTGATCACCGGCGATTTGAACGGTTTAACGGATGCTTTTCCCTTGACATCCGACATCGCAGCAGTCTGGAACGACGGCGAGGGTATGGGCATTGCGGATCTCGTGAAGGAGTTTCCTGCTCGTGGTGTGGGCGTATCGGGTATGAATGCGTTATTCATCAGACGAAGAGCTTGACGTGGAGGTGATAATGGATTTGTGCGTCGAAGCTGACCTTGCGAACCACTGCCGGACGGAGAAGGAGCTAAGACTTCTTCGTCTTCGGCATCCCACTGCTGCATTCTAGCCTCTGCCTCTTGAAGAGCAGTTGCAGAGGGAGCCAAGATTTTGCTCTGTGCCGCTGTCGTGAAAGCGATTGGGAAGGCATCTGCTCCGGCAGAGATGGAACCAGCAGAAGCAAAACCTGTGATCCCGGGAACTGTAGTGCTCGAGAACCAAGCAGAGAAATCTGGTGGGGTCCCATCGGGAGACGGTGAACGTTGTTCTCGGTAAGACTGAGAAGATAGTTGTGGTACGTGAGTGGCAGTAGTGAAGCCAGATATAGTAGGCCCAAGACGAGAAGCTGAGGTAAATCCTGATGATCCTAGTGCTACAGACTGTCCAAGACCTCCTTGAGAGGGCTTTCTATGACTTTGGCTGAGTGGCAAATCCTCATCGTCGGAGGACAATCCAGGTGAACCGCGAGCCTGCGAAAACGATTCGCGAGAACGTTTCAGTTGAGACGAGGCCGTGAGAAAAGGATTTTCTGAGTCGAATGAGGGACCTGCTTTCGCAGAAGGTGTCCCATTTCGCAAAGTGGATGCGGGAGTGAAGAGAGACGTGCTGGGCTTGCCTGCGCTTGGACGTGGTGGTGACGGGCGCTATCAGATCACGATGCGATGAGGTCAATGAAGGTGCATATATGCGGGTGAATACACACCGGAGGGCTCTCGCTCTGGGTTCGGGAGCTTCCGCCTGGAAAAGGGGCGGCTTGGGAGCTGGACGTCCCTGCCTGTGAAAGCCGGAACTCTATCTCCTCGAGGCCATCGATGTCCTCCTGGCTTAGGTCTTCCATCTGGACGTCGTATGTCGGCGACGACATTCGCTGACGCTTGCGAGGCGGTGCTCTAGGAGAAGAAACTAGCGTGCAAAATCTCATCAAATCATATACATCGGTTATATGCATAAACCAGCATACCGTTTGGACGCATGGCTTCGTGGTACAGGTAAGAGAGGTGGCCTCGAAGTAAACGGGCCACGGAAAGAGACGCGACGCGTTTCGTCGCACGTGAGCGCAGGTCTCCCACGGTGTTGAACTGTGGCCCATCAGTGGCCCTCTCAAAGGTTTGAACCTAACCACCTCATTCTCAACTTCTGGTAATGTTAGAGCATCCCAATGCTTTTCTTCGCCTCCAGAGAGGCATCGTGTTCGGTATCTTTATCATGCGCTGTTTCATAGATCCTCACTGCATGAACATGATGCTGGCTCCATACTTGTCAACTACAAATTCTTAGTCGATCCAAGATGTATTTGTAAACGGACCAGGATCACCGATCCTCTGCAAATGTATAGAGTCAAATGTGTGATAGAGGATTGATTTACGGGTCATGCTCAGCAGGAGGGAGGTCAGAACTTGCCACTCATCCCAATATGGCCACCAACTCTTCCAAGCTTCCATGCCGAGAAAATAGACAATTGAAGTGTCCCATACTGGGAATTTACGTACTGTGCAAACGCAAGTGCTGTCCGTGGACGAGCGAGCTTTGTTTACGTGAGAAGAGTCTGGTGTGGCACCCCCGCGACAAACAGAAAGTTGGAGGGCGGCTGAGTGTGACGAGCTGCTTCCCATTCCGATCCCGAACGGAGCGACGCTCGTTGGCCGGCCATTATTACGCTGAACTCATTCTTCTGTTGTCTCCCTCCCCGCAAGCCTGCCAGAGGCTCCCGCGATCTCTCTCCCCCACTCATCGACATGAACGGTGTCATGTCCACCTCTCAGACCGCCACCGTCAACGCAAGGTCCGCGAAGCCTCCCCCCACAGGTCCTGCTCCCCCTCCTCCTGCATCAGCCCATCCACATCCACAACTCCCGCCCAACTCGAACTCGAACAATTCGCAGAACCATCATCCACCCGCGAACAACAGAACCCAGGGCCATCCTCCCGCACACAATCACAACCACAACCACGCGCCAGCGGTCAATGGCTCGCACGCGCCGCATCCCAAAGGGAAGAAGAAGAATGAACCGACCCCGGTAGACCCGGCGACGATGTATGAGAGTCTGAAGAATAGGATTGCGGCATTGGAGGAAGAGGAGGTGCTTGAGGAGGAAGAGGAGAGGAGATACGGTATGACACGCTGGTATGTCTCGTGAGTATTGGTTCGGGGAATAATTGTTGTTACCTTCTCCAGCGGAGGAAGCTCAGAAGTCTGTCGTCGGGATGGGTGAGAACGCGGTGCATGCGAAGTACATCGAGATGGTAAAGTCACCTATTCGTTCGACAGGTGTGCCCTCGTTCACGAGGCGTGTTTTGTGCATCGCAGTTCGCGGAGTACAAACGGATGGAACGGGAGCATCAGAAGGAGAAGCAGAAGTTAACGAAGGATAAAGATGCAGGTACGCTGTTTATCACCCTCAAGTTTTGTTGTAGGTGCTAACGGATGGTGAAAGCTAAGGGTCAGTTGACAAAGGCAAACCAAACCAAGGTCAAGATGGAGAATCTCGCACGAGAGCTTCAGAAGGTGGACTATCGCCGTGATACTATTCGTCGTATACTTGCTAACATGTGTTGTATCAGGACAACAAGAGACTCAGGGTAAGTCTCATTCACCATACGACTCAACTGGCGCTCATGCGGTCACTTAGGAGGATGGCAAGAAACTTGCACAGTCTGTGGAGGAGGCACAGGAAGAGGTCTGTCCCTTTATGATATAACCCAAGCCTCAGGCCATAAAGATTCTTTCTGCACATTCTAGATTGAACAAATGAAGAAAGACATGACAAGACGTGCCGAAAAGGCCAAGGCCCAGGACACAAAGTATCGCGAAATGCCCGACATCGTCGTCAAAGTCGTCTGCCGCTATCGCGAAGAGCTCTTCTTCCGCATCTCGCGCAAAACCAAGCTCCTCAAACTCTTCAACGCCTGGACGGAACGCATGGAATTGATCAATGCGAGCAGTACGGGACCGGGGACTGGGGGGCCTATGTTTAGTGGTGGGAGTTGGAAGAAACCGGATAAAAGTGGGGGGAGGACGGAGACGGCGAGCACATATACGACGAGTTCGGGGCATGCGCCAAGTTTTGGGACGCAGTTTGTGTTCACGCATAGCGGAAGGAAGGTGGACGCGGAGCAGACCCCTGAAGAAGCGGGTGTGGAGGATGGAGATGAGATTCTGGCGGTTGAGCTCATGGATCTGACCGAGGGTCCTGGGACAGAGGTGTTGGTGCGTACATCCCCGGTGGCATTTTCTTGGACTTGACAGAGTGATATTGACGGGTCTTGAAGGATGAGCGTGCACCACGTCGCCAGAAGCTGCAGAAACACTGGACAAATGACCCTGCGGAGTACGTACATCTCTTCACATCCCCGAAGGCCTTGGACTGATTCAGTTGTATTTAGAGCGGTGAAGACACTTGAAGAAATATTTGATGGAGTGTACGTATCCCTCTTCGTGTACTGTTTCTCGCGTTAATGTGTCTCCATTTACAGTATTCGAGAACGGCTCAAAGAAGTCCTACGACAGTATGAACTCCGAGAACGACATTTTGAGTGCGTCATCCGTTCGAAGGAGCTCGAGGTCTTGCTCTCTCGTGCACGAGCCGCAGAGCAAAAGCAACTTTGTGAAGGCGAGAAAGCGCGGGCGGATAAATTGGAGGAAGAAGTTAGTTCATTCTCCTAGTAGTCCCCAGGCGCACCACATCCCTTTTAGAAGAAAACTCCTGCTAACCCGTCGTCTTACCTTTTCACCAGGCTCAAGCAATGCGAAAGGAGCTAGAAGACGCTCATAAGGGGCAAACCATGCTTTTCGACAAGCTCATCAGCTGTTGCAAAGAGGTCTGTCTTCTTCCCTTTCGTCTTCGTCATGTATGAGACTTTTCCTGATGATTCTCGCCCGTTGGGCGTTGATCCACAGCCTAACGCAGAGAAAACGCAACGTTTATTCGCTTCGCTTCGAGAAGAGCTGGAAAAACGCGGTCGGGGCCACCTAGTGAATGGTGCCACGAACGGGTAGCATCCTGTCTTCCCTTGTACTAGTACCGATCTCACAGACTTGTCATATCGCACGCTTTGCATCGCATTCGTTTTCGTTTGTCCACATCGCTGTCACGGTTGTCCAGTGGCAGCCAATGTCAGTCACGGTGGTCATTACAGGGACTCGCGCTGGTCCAGTGTTTGATCATCTCCTGCTTTGGGGCGTTCTTGCGGAAAGCTCTGGACAATATTGGGGGCTTGGTCGCCTCCAGTATATTCAACTGAACCATGTTCGAACGCCCTTGCTCGTAGTAAGTACTATATTTGCAAGAATGGGTGGCGAGGCGCCCTGCTCCAGCCGGAATTGGCCGGGGAGAAAGAGGTCCAAGCTCGCCGGTCGCCGGCATCTAATCCATGAGGCTCTTTGACCTTTCTTGAGCTTGAACCACCACCTCGCTATAGTACGATCCCCAACACCATAGGCTTCGGCACTCGCATCGCGCGAAACAGACGTTTCGATGGCGTCGGATGCGTCTCGGTACCGTTACCTCATTTTCTCTTTCATCTTCAGTCTCTAACTTCAAGTTCCACTGAATCTCATAGAGAGTACTTATGGGAACAACTCAAAGCGTCCAGGATAACCGAGAGGCTGCGCAGCTCCAATGTCGAAGACGATGCGAAATTCATCATCACAGCCTGCGATGGCGAGATCGCCCTCGCTCGCTCATATTCACAAGAGCTCGGAGCACGACATAATTCTCTAATCTCTGTCGTTCAGTTCCCCTCCGAGCTACTTGCGGCCATCTTCCACTTTCTTCTAGATCTCCCTGTGCGCGAGAGACGGATCGAAGAGGTCTCAGAGACTTCTGTCCACTTGGATCGCGAGATAGCTGCTAATACGCGATCCCTCATCGCTGCTTCACATGTCTGTCAACGGTGGCGCGAAGTAGCCCTCGAATTCTCTTCTCTGTGGGCGGTCTTATGGACCACGAACAAGTTCTGGCTGTCCGAGATGCTCGCTCGTGCGAAAGATTCGCCCCTCGTCATCCTGCAGCTACATGATAATGAATGGATAAGCACGCCTACGTCTCATCTGCGCGAAAGCATGAATATCCTCACACCGCTACTATTTGAAACAAAGCAGCCCAGGCATCTGCGTCTACATCTCAATACGAACGAAAGGACGCTGGTAGACGCCTGGTCCAAAGTCCTATCACGGCCGGCGCCAGATCTCGAAGTTTTGCAGGTGTTTACAAGGACTTTGCATCTTCAGGACTTTGCACCCCTCGTCATCACTACTGACTTCCTTGGAGGGCACGCCCCAGCTTTGAAGAGCTTAACGCTCAAAGGTCCTTGCTCCCACCAAGCCTTGTGGACCTCACCGGTGCTCCGTGGCCTTGTCAACCTCACTTTAGCAATGACACCTCCAGGAACGACACAGAAAGTGTCTCTTCAGGGGACCCTGACTGCTCTGCGAGGTATGCAGCAGCTAGAGACCTTATCTATCGAATTCCTTCCTTTATGGCCGCTGGAGCTGCCATACTTTCTATCGAACAGCTCACAAGAAGGCATAGCTCGCCTTCCACGTTTGACGTTCTTGAGTGTCAAAGGAAGTATGGCGGACACAACCACTCTCACAGAGTGTCTCTTGCTTCCACCACGAGCCGACATACAGTGCGAAATCCGTGTCACGGAGGAGCATGTCTCTCATCCTCAAATGCCAGGAGATATAGCGGCACTGTTGCACCCTGTTCTCCCGATACGTTCGACCATGGGGGTATACGAAATCAACTTCTCCTATGACCCCAAACCCTTCCTCTGCGTCCGAGCCTGGGAGCAGGCCCTACCACTAGACCACTATCTGGACGATTATCCTGTGAGACCACGACTGACCCTGACTTTCACCATCCGTAACGAACATCTACCCGGCGGATTCCCGCAGCCCCAAAACATGGTTGAACTGTTCGAACGAGGCATAAGGAATCTTGTGAAGATGCTGACTATGCTGTCGCCATTACTTCCCCGCGATCAGCCACACGACTTGCGATGGGGAATCACACGTTGGCCATACGCTAATTGCCTACTCATCATCGACGATGAACCCATCACCGAGGTTCTCAACGCCATCCCGGAGACGAGGAGACTCATCTTCAACAGTATTCGTTCTTGTCGTGATATCATATCCGGAGCGGCTAACGACCCTAGACTCCTTCGTAATCTGAAAAGCATTCACTTCATTGGGCATCCACCGTCGGATTCATCGATTTCTCTTCAACCACTGAATCCGAATAGTGTGCTTAGTATGGAAGACACGATATACCACGATATCGCCGGGGACCTTCGTCTTGTGGCTGTGTTATGGACTATATTTTTCGTCTTCTTGTATGCTCGACAGGTCTGATACCGCAGGAGACACGGATGTGCAGTCTCAGTTTCTTTTTATTTAACTACATACACATCATCCACTCATATGGCCGGCTGATGAACATTCCATGGACCTGTAGACGTGTCTCGACTCCTTTCGTATTCTCGACTACGGACTACCTCGTTTCTCATAGCCTCGGACTGTGCTTCATAGCCTTGCATAGGCTTTGTACTATATTTATTGGGTACAGGATTCCGCATCGACTACGGACTGGGGCACAGTACTAGCACGACTCGGTCTGACTTACTTATTAGCTTCATAGCCTCCTGCGGCTGCGCATGTATGTACTATATAAGGACGACCCTAGTAGAGGGGAGTTCTTTAACCTATTCATCTCTGATTTACCTCGTCTATCTACTCGTACTTGAACTAGTCCTTTCAGCAGGACTAGCTTCCCTTATCGATACCTAGAACCTTTGTCTGTGTAGAATCGCCACTACACCAGACCTTTGACCTAGAAGCAAGGCTTCTTAGAACACGGCCGATCGCACCTGTGATAGCTATCACACCTGCACCCGAACGCGCGTCCACTCTTGAATCACTATTCAAGCCTGGACATTACATTTGAATAGGTTCACCAGCCGTCGACACCTCGACCTTCTCCAGGAAGGTCATTCGCCGTCACCACGGGTGATCACAGAGAAG